CTTGAAAGAGCTGCTATTAGAAACGCCAATATTTGCAGAGCCTCTCCCTTTCAGCTAGGTTTGGCATCATATATACCTCACCTGGGTCATGTTAAGGGCCCACATCACAGCTTCTGACCTTCTGCTTGTTGCTTCGCCATCCCAGTTACAATTCCTGTCATTCAGTGAAGGTAAACAGAGAAGAAAGAGAGCAACCCCCAGCCTAATGTCTCAGCATCTTCTAGGGGTCTAACTACAAGGACTTGCCCCCACCACAGCAAGAACATTAGAAAACCAATGGTGAAAACATGTAGAATCCCATCAAGTTTAATGAATGAAAACAATATCACTGAAGACATAAACACCAACCAGCTCAGGAAATCCTGAGATAATGTCCTTAGTGTAACCATGGTGAGGCTGTTCAATGAGCTCAAAGAAACCATGGCACAGGTAGTCAGTAAAGCACAAGAAAGCATAAGCATTAAAATGAAAAATTACTACAGTCAGAAATGAAGAACAAGGTAGGAGATATTAAAAAAATCTAAAGAAGCGCTGAGTAGCAGAATAACAGCAGCTGAGCAAAAGATCAAGGAGCTCCAAGATGATGATGAGGAAACCACTAGGAAACAGCAGAAGATGGAAAATAGTTTGAAAATCAATGAATGGCATACTAGAGAAATATGGGATGAGCTCAAGAGAAACAATATAAAACACTGGAATCCCTGAACAAAAGGCAAGTGTGATGAAAGACGTAAAGAAAATCATCAGTTTCCCAGACTTGAGGAATACAGGTACCGAGATCAAAGCGGTCCAAAGGATCTCTGTGAAAATACATTCAACTAGGAAAACCCCAGAATGGTTTGTACTCAAAATGACAAAATCTAAAGGTAAAGACAGAGTATTAAAGCAGCAATATCCAAAAGGAACTTACAAACAAAGGAGAGCACACATGATGTACAGTAGACTTAGTATATGAGACTCTAGGAGCCAGAAGAATGAGGGTGTAATATAAAACTCAATGAGACGAACACCTCACCAAAAATATTCTATCCAGCTAGATTATCATTCATCTTTGAAGGAATAATATAGAGCTTCATAGACAGGCAATAGGTTGGGAATTCACCAGTTTTGCAAGAAGTGTTAAACTTGATCATTGTATAACTGAAACCCAAGCAAGCACAAAAATTTGTAAGTCTATAACTGTACCTCATGGTGTTTCACTAATAAAATAAATAAATAAAGAGCTTCTTTCTTTCATTATTATTATTATTATTATTATTATTTTGGTCACAGTTACAAAGCTGTTCATGATAAGGTTTCAGTCATACAATGATCCTACACCCATCCCTCCACCAGTGCACATTTCTTACCACCAGTGACCCCAGTTTCCCTCCTGTCACCCTCCTTCCCCAGCCTTTCTCTATGTCTCTATAGCAGGGATCTCTCTCTCTGTCTCTCTCTGTCTCTCTCTGTCTCTCTCTCTCCTCTTTAAAGGACAGGACAAATTTCTCAACATGTGGCATCAAGTATGGCACTCACTATTGGTGCACATGGTTTCTCTCTACTAGAGTAAAAAAGGTAGCACTGTAGCACTGTCCTCCCATTGTTCATTGAGCAGGCACCAGTAACGTCTCCGTTGTGAGACTTGTTGTTACTGATTTGGCATATCAATACACCACGGGGAGCTTGCTAGGCTCTGCCGTGTGGGCAGAATACTCTTGGTAGCTTGCTGGGCTCTCTGAGAGGGATGCAGGAATCAAATCAAGGCAAACACCCTACCCACTATGCTATCGCTCCAGCCCCCAGTAAAAAAGGTATGTTTTTTATTTTTATTTTTCTTAATTGAATCACAATGAGATAGACAGTTACAAAGTTGGTCATGATCAGGTTTCAGCATATAATGTTCCAACACCCATCCCTTCACCAGTTTATGTTTCCCGTCACCAATGTCCCCAGTTTCCCTTTTTCTCCTCTCTCTCTCTCATTATTTATACCTTTCTTCCTGACTGACTTTACTCAGTATGATGTCTTCTAGTTCCATCTATGTTGCTGAAAATTGCATGATATTATTGTTTCTTAGAGCTTATAATATTCCAGTGTATATGTAATGGAATATCTATTATATATATATCTCACAAATTTTAAAAAATTTTTATTAGTGAATCACTGTGAGGTACAGTTACAAACTTACAAACTTTTGTATTTCAGTTATACAATAATCATTTATCCATCCCTACACCAGTGCCCATTCTCCTCCACCAATGTTCCCAATATCCTTCCCACCACCTCCACTCCATTCCCCCCCCCCCCCATCCTGCCTCTGTGGCAGGGCATTCCCTCTTGTTCTCTCTCCTTTTGAGTGTTGTAGTTTGCAATAGAGGTATTGAGTAGCCATCGTGTTCGGTCTATAGTCTACTTTTGGCACACATCTTTCAACCTGAATGTGTCCTCCCAACATCCTTTACTTATCTCACAACTTCTAGATCCATTTGTCTGTAGTTGAGTGCTCAGGCTGTTTCCATACCTTGGCTATTATAGTAAATATGTATACATCCCTTCAAATTAATATTTTTGTGTTTTGGGGATAAATGCCGAGTGGTTTTGCTGGATCGTTTTGTAGTTCTATTCTTATTTTTGATCATCATATTGTTTTCTGTAAAGATTGAACCAGAGAAGGTATTTTATATTTTTTAGTAATGAATTAATATCTCATTAAAATTTTGCATAATGCCAAAACCTCTATGTCATCTATATCCAGGTAGATGTATATACCTTATTCTCCTATTTTCCTCTCAAATATATGTGTGTATATCACTGTATCACTGTCATCCCGTTGATCTTTGATTTGCTTGAGCAGATGCCAGTAACATCTCTATTCCTCCTAGCCCTGAGATTTTAGCAGACTCTTTTTACTCGTCTTTTCCCAGTGATTGGAGACTCTTTCAGGGTCAGGGGAATGAGACCTGCAGTCGTTACTGGTTTTGGCATACCGAATACACCACCAAGAGCTTGCCAGGCTCTGCCCGTGCGGGCGGGACACTCTTCGTAGCTTGCCTGGCTCTCCAAGAGGCATAAATGGGTAGGAAGTGTCTTATAATGTGTCAGGAAAGTGGCCTGGAGTGTGGCGGTGGTTGGGCAGTGGAGGTCGACTCCCCCCGCTAGGTCCCCTGGGGTGGGGAGGGCTCTCACCCACCCCACAGCCTGGCATGGAGTCCCCTCTGTGTGTGTGTGTGTGTCTATGTATACGTATACGTATATGTATATGTATATATAGAGAGTATCCCACCCGCAGGGCAGAGCCTGGCAAGCTCCCTCTGGCGTATTCAATATGCCAAAAACAGTAACAACAGGTCTCACAATGGAGATGTTACTGGTACCCACTTGAGCAAATTGATGAACAATGGGATGACAGTGCTACAGTGCTATACACATACACACACACACACACACACACACACACACACACTCAAATAGGATTCCTGACTTACCTATTTCTGAGCTTTTGTATGAAGGTACTTTTCTTTTTTTTAACCCACACGAGAGAACTTCAACTACAAATACTTAGTTCATAATCTTTTTATTCAAAAAATAGCCTTATACTCAAAACACAGACTCAACAACACTGAAAACATGAGACCTAAGCTAGCTGCAACCACCATAACTCTGTAATGTACCTCTCAAGTTGACAGGCAGGGGAGGGGTGGGGGTGGGGTAGGGAGGGAATATGGGAACACTGGTGGAGCGAAGGTGACACTGGTGATAGGATTGGTGTTGAATATTATATGCCTGAAACTCAATTATCAATAACTTTATAAATCACAGTTCCTTAATTTAAAAAAAAAGTTGAACTTATAAAAACAAACCCCAAAGGATAGCCTTGTGATTAAGAGAACAGACTCTTACATCAGAAATGACCCCCCCCCAAAAAAAATCCACCTCAAAACACCATTTCTTGTGTTTTTTTGTTTGTTGGGGCGGCCACACCCGGCGGTGCTCAGGACTTAACTCCCTCCTGGCGTTGCGCTCAGGATTACTGCTGGCGGTCTTCCAGGGGACCATATGGGATGCCCAGGACAGAACCCAGGTTAGCGGAGCGCAAGGCAAGCGCCTGCAAGCTGCTTCAGCTCTCCAACTCCAACAGCATTTCCTCGGGCGAGTGTTTAACCTTTCTGATCCAGTAGCCGCATTTACCAAACAAATGATTCCAATTGGGAACGCAAACGGTAGGAAACTCAGGAGTTCGTCCCGTTGTGATTCTTACTAAAGAGATGCGTCTTGAATAGCTGGTATCACTAATACCAGGGCAATCCTCACTTGCAGGAGAAGCCGTTGAAAAATCAAAAATGTTGGTCTTGGGGGGTGGAAGGGGAGCCTTCGGTGGTTGGAAGGTGCAGTGACTTTGCGCACCATACACGCAAACACGAGTGGAACCGTCTTACCTAAACGGAACGAAAGTCACATCTCTCCTTTGCAATTGTGCATCTGTCCGAGGGCTGGCACCTCGGCTCCCCTGCGCAGGCCAACAGGATCCCTCGCTGATTTATCACCCCAAGTGAGTGCCAGGGGTGGCGGGGGGATGGGGAGGTGGCGGGGGGGGGGGGGGGACTCCCGCTGCACCGTCTCCAAAGGACCCGGACTTTGAAATGCAAACGCTTCAACTCCAGGTCCAAAAGCTGCCCTTCGCCCCGCGCTCTCGTACTGCTGCAGTTTCCCCTCGCGCACCCCTGGGCGCCCGGCGATCCCGTTTGCGATTCACCCGTGCTGTCGGCGAGGTCGGGCACTCGGAGGGGGGGGCGGGTCCGCGGCTCCCCGGGACGCTGCTGGGCTCCCTGAAACCCCTCGGAGAGCGTGCGGGGCTGTGCGCGCCCGCGGTGCCCCCGCCCCGCCCGCGGCCGGGACAACGCCTCCAATCTCGCCGGCCGCCCCGCCCGCCGCGCCCCGGGCGTCGGGGCATAAGAGCGCGCGGACAGCGCTGAGCGCGCGGCTGGGGACAGTGGCCGGCGGCTCGGGCGCACGCAGCGATGGAGGCGTCCCGGGGTATCGGCACCTTCGTGGTGTGGGACTACGTGGTGTTCGCCGCGATGCTGCTCATCTCGGCCGCCATCGGCATCTACTATGCAGTCTCCGGGGGGCTCCAGCAGAACTCCAAGGAATTCCTGATGGGTGGCCGCCGGATGACCGCCGTGCCCGTGGCGCTGTCCCTCACCGCCAGCTTCATGTCGGCCGTCACCGTGCTGGGCACCCCCTCCGAGATCTATCGTTTTGGGGCCGTCTTCTGCATGTTTGGCTTCACCTACTTCTTCGTGGTCCTCATCAGCGCGGAGGTCTTCCTCCCGGTGTTCTACAGACTGGGCATCACCAGTACCTACGAGGTGAGGGGCGAGGGGCGAGGGGTACCGGGCAGGGCGTTCGAGGACTCCCCACGCCCAGACCTCCCTCTCTGCAAGCCCCTCCTCTTACCCCCCGCTGACGCTTCTTGGGGACTCGTGCCTCTAAAGGCCAGGGCAAAACTTGGTGGGGACCCTCCCTGGCTGAGTTTGGAGAGACTGCCAAAGTAAACGGAGCGCTCTGGCCGCTTTAATCACATCTTCGAGTTCAGAGGAAAGATTTTAAACCCCTTTTACGTGGGAGTGGGGGAGTGTGAGACGTTCACGTCTCACCTTCTGGGGGAAAAAAAAACAGCCCTTGATTCCAAATTCCCACGCACCATTCCTTTTCTCGGGGACTAGTTGGGAAGAGTTTGCACTTTCTCCTTCAGTGACTCCTAGCGTGCTGGGCTGGCAGACACCTCCCCAGCGAGGCAGGCGTCCTCAAAACCTGCCTCCAGCGGCATCCTTGCTTTGCTCCCAACACCCATGTTTTGGAGACCAGATTCTACCGCTTTCTAGCTGAGTAGCTCTGGGAGTCTTATCTAATTTGAGGTGGGGGGCCCTGTTTCTCCATCTCATCTTGTGGAGAGGATTGCAGGAGATGATGCGAAGGTGGCTTTTACAACTGTCTGGTACAGTGACTGCTGAGTAAAGACCTTGACAACACCAGTGGTGGGGGATAGGAGAGGTGAGGATCTTGTAATCGCTGGAAGAAACAGTAAAGAAAACAAAACTTGTTTGTATTGCTCAGGCCGTTTCAAGTTGTCTGCAGGAAAGGGCTTTGCAAAGATGAGCGTCTCCTTTTTAAGAACTGTTAAGTGGGATTGCCCAAGGAAGAACCTTATGGAGTAGGGAAGCCCAGTTGTTGCCTCCCGTGAACTCTTTCATCCAGATACAACCCATGGCCTTCCACAGACAAGCGTGATACTGACTGGCCATGAGCCAATGGGCTTCCATCCCTGTTTTCAGCCACCAGCTCAGTCGTTGAGTGTAGGTCATGTTTATTCTAGTCCACCTGGAAGGCACACTCCTAGGGAGACTGGTTCAACAGGTGCTGGCATTGGGGCCCCAATGACACAAGTATTTGTGACAAGCTGCCTGGACTCCTGTGACATCATCCTGGGCGAGGTGGCCCTGGGAGAGCCTTGCCTGCTATCATTTTGGCCAGTGTGTTTGGGAAAGTTCCTTCAGTACCCCTGCAAAGTAAGCATGATCACATGTCTCTGTTTTGCTGAGAAGTGTCAAACTGGCTCGGATGGCAGATTCTTAAACATTCTGATTCTAGTTTCTTTGGAAATCTTAGAAGCCTTGTGATCCTGGCCCACAGGAATTCTAGCTTGTACCAATGACTTAACAGTCCTGGGGGCCAGAGGGATAGTATAGCCGGTAGGGTGCTGCCTTGCACATGGCTGACTGGTTCAATTTCTGGCATACCATATTGGCTCCTGAGTACTGCCAGGAGTAATTCCTGAATGCAGAGCCAGGTGTGGCACAAAACAAAACAATTCAAAACAACCCCTTCCCCCCCAAACCCCCCAAAATAGGCAATGGCTTACAACCCCTATGTCATCTATTTTGACATCTTTGTATTTTCTTTTGATACCGAAAATATTTACATTGACGTCTTTATAAATGAAGACAGGAAGGCAATCCGGAATATTTTGTTTCAAGGGAGATATGAGAAAAATGTATTTCTTATACCTTGCGTGACCTTAACTCCATAGGTCTTCCTGGATCCAGCTCATATTGGGGAAAATATTCTATAAAAGCTAGTAAATATTAGACAGAATAGTATCTATATGCAGTACTACATATAGGTACTATTCTATCTACTATTGAATAGAATAGAATAGTATATATACTATTTTATATGCCATAGAATAGTATATATTAGATATTAATACATACTGTGCATATATATGAACATATTTATATAGCATGCTATATACAATGAATATACGTATATATAAACACACACTAACTCAACTTATTAGATTCTTATTACCATCTCATTTTTCTCAAGTTTCTTTTGTCCACAGTAGTTTGGATACTTTTATCTAAAACTTCCTTGACTATTCATATTCATTTGGGGATAGTGGTGTAGGTATTGGAGGTGTGCTGAGGGCCACTCCCAGTGATACCTAACCCAGTGTGCAGGCCTTATGGTCAGACACTCAGACCTAGAAGTGCTTAGGGAAGGACAGTTGGCACTGGAGATTGAACCCGAGGCCTCATGTGTGCCAGGTGCATGTGCCAGCCCTGTGAGCTTTCTTTCTGGCTGCTTCATTCATTTTTAATAGTGTTTGACTAACCCAAGGACAGTAGGAACACAGGCCAGGAGGATTGGTCCACTGTTGGAAGCCTGCCTCAGTTGTAACGGGAGAAGGCAGTTTGGATAGAGAAAAAAATCACTGTAACAATAATAGTTGGAAATGTTGGAAATGATCACTTTGGATAAGAACTGTGTGCTACTCATTTGTGGAATATAAAATAACATAATATGAGGCTCACACCTAAGGACAATAGATACACGGGTCAAGAAGATTGTTTCATAGCTGGAAGCCTGCCTCAAGAGTGGAAGGGAGAATGCAGCTGGGATAGAGAAGGGATCACTAAGAAAATGATGGCTGGGGGAACTGGTCAGGATGGGAGATGTGTGCTGAAAGTAGATAATGGACCAAACATGATAACCTCTCAGAATCTGTATTGAAAATAATAATGCCCAAAAGTAGAGAGAAAGTATGGGGAATATTTTCTGCCATGGAGGCAGGGAGAGGGTGGTAAAGGGAGTGGTATACTGGGGATATTGGTGGTGGGGAATGTGTACTGGTGGAGGGATGGGTATTTGATTATTTTGTTATTGTAACCCAAACATGAAAGCTTGTCACTATCTCACAGTAATTCAATAAAATAAATAAACACACACAGAACTGTGTGCTGAAAGGAGATAAAGATAAAGAAACAAACATGATAATCTCTCCAGTATGGCAAGCCATAGTGTGGACACAGAGAGAGAGAGAGAGAGAGAGAGAGAGAGAGAGAGAGAGAGAGAGAGAGAGAGAGAGAGAGAGAGAGAGAGAGAGAGAGAAGAGAGAAAGAGAGATAGAAGTGCCTATGAAAGAGGCAGACTGGGGGTGGAGGTTGGGGGAGGGACACTGGGGTGATTGATGGTGGGAAATGTATACTGGTGGAGAGATGGATGTTGGAACATTGTATGACTGAAACCTGAGCGTGAACAGCTTTGTAACTGTGTGTATCATGGTGACTCAATTAATAATAAATAAATAAAAGGCATGCCTATATTTTAAAAATATAATGTTTGACTAGAAGAATGCTAAAAATATAAGTGTCCTATTTTCAAACTTCGAGACACTCATAAACCTTCTAAAAGGTCTTACAGCATATCCTAGGATTTGAACACTAGTAATCATGAGTTTCAAATTCTCAAGGTTTCTGGAGTTGGCTCCTTAACGTCTTGCTTTTGAATACAGGTTTATAATACTTCCTTATTCATCCCAATCACGTGATAGTCTGAAATAACTGAAAGGTGAGAGGGGAAAATTTATTATTTGGGAGGCCGGGGATATGATTCAAGTGGCAGGGCACCCACCCTGTGAGTGTGGGGCCTGAGGTTCAGTCTCCAGCACATGCTTCCTGAACACCATGAGGACTGGTGTCAGGCCCATAAGCAGAACTGGGTGTGACACTCACAGCAGTTATATCATTTTAAAAAAGAAATCAATTATTACCATGTTATTGATTTTCAAGAGGAGGAAATGTAAGGTTCAAGTCACTTTCTCAAGCTTACAAAGTCAGATATAGAGATAAGGGCTGGAGCTGTTCCCATTTGTGTGTGTGTGTGTGTGTGTGTGTGTGCGCGCGCGCGCACACACACACGTGGTATGTGTATGGGGTCACTTCTGGAAGTGCTCAGAGAACCATATGGTATCAGAAACCATGTGATACCCTGTTGGTGGGAATGCCGACTGGTTCAGCCCTTTTGGAAAACAGTATGGATGATTCTCAAAAAATTAGAAATTGAGCTCCCATTTGACCCAGCAATACCACTCCTGGAAATATATCCCAGAGAGGCAAGAAAGTATAGCCGAAGTGACATCTGCAATTGTCTGTTTATTGCAGCACTCTTTACAATAGCCAGAATCTGGAAAAAACCTGAGTGCCCGAGTACAGATGACTGGTTGAAGAAACTCTGGCACATTTACACAATGGAGTACTATGTAGCTGTTAGGAAAGACGAAGTCATGAAGTTTACATGCAAGTGGTACTACATGGAAAGTATCATGTTAAGCAAAATGACTCAGAAAGAAAGAGATAGACATAGAAAGATTGCATTCATCTGGGGAACATAAAGTAACAAAATAGGAAACTAACACCCAAGAATGGCCGAGATTAGTACCAGGAATTTTACTCCATGACCTGGAGGCCAACCACACATACTAGTGGGAAAGGGAGCTCAGATAAAGAAGAGAACACCAAATAAAGGTGTTGGGAGGATCCTCCCAGGATGAGAGAAGCATGCTGAAAGTAGACTATCGACCAAACACAATTGCCACTCAATGTCTCTTTTGCAAACCACAACACCCAAAAGGAGAGAGAGAACAGAGGGGAATGCCCTGCCACAGAGACAGGGTGGGATAAAGGGGATAGGGGGTGGGAGGGATACCGGGATCCGTGGTGGTGGGAAATGGGCACTGGTGGAGGGATAGGTATTTGATCATTGTATAATTGAAACCCAAGCACAAAAATGTGTAAGTCTGCAACTGTACCTCATGATGTCTCACTATTAAAAAATTTTTAATAAAAAAAAATTTAAAAAACAAACAAACAAAAGAAACCATGTGATACCATCAAATCTGAAACTTCCATGTTCAGAGCATATACTCAGCCTCCTGAACTATATGTTTTTTGTTTTTGTTTTTGTTTTGTTTTTGCTTTTTGGGTCACACCTGACGATACTCAGGGCTCACTCCTGACTCTGTGCTCAGGAATTACTCCTGGCAGTGGTTAGAGGGCCATGTGGGATTGAACCCAGGTCGGCCACATGCAAGGAAACACCCTACCTGCTGTACTATTGCTTCAGGCCTCTCCTGAGCTATCTTGCTGGCCCTGCACTGAATATATTTTTAAAATTTTTATTAGTGAAACACATTGAGGTACAGTTGTAGACTTACAAATTTTTGTGCTTGGGTTTCAATTATACAATGATCAAATGCCCATCCCTCCACCATGCACTGAATATTTATGAGGCATCTGCTTACACTCTAAGAGCTTGAGATACTTGGTCAGTTTATTTATATAATTATTTGCAGTCAGGCTACATGCACAGGTTTTGACTTCTATGGGTCCTATGCTTGCATCTGGTCTCTCTGAGCCCTAGGGTCCTCATCTCTCATGACAAGTTCCTAACCCACAGATATCTTGGAGTAACAGTGTATATAATATGTGCACGCTCTGTAAATGGTATCCAGTGCATTTTCCTCTAATACTTAACTCAATTTTCTCCTTTATCTTCTTTTATCCTGATGCATGAAAAAACAAAACCAAACTTTTGCCAGTCTTCAAGTTCTCCTTACACATAGCGAGCATTGGACTCCAGTCTGATCTATCGAGGAATGTCATTTGGTGGTGGTGGTGGGGAGCCATGCTTGATGGGGCTCAAGGGCTTCTCCCACCTCAGTGCTTAAAGCTTACTCCCCATGGTGCTCAGGGGATCATGCTAAGGATTGAACCCAGGTGGGAAAAATTGAACCTAGGGATACACACACAAAATATGTGCTCCAGTCCCTTAAGCTCTCTTTCCTGTCCTTGAAATTCTCATTTAAACACTGTGATAACTTATGATATGTAGAAGAGAAAATAAACAGACTTTGTTTTAAGATAATGCAGGTGTTTAGAAGAGTAAGAAAAAAAACTTGGCTCTAACGTTGAACAGAAATTTACTTAGACTGATATAAGTAAAAAAATGAAAGGAGGCCATGGGCTACCTGATAGAAGAGAGGGTTCCATCAGCTGAACAAGTAGAGGATGAAAAGGAGAAGCCAGGACAGTCTCTCCTGGCCTGTCGGCAGCAGTGTACTTCCATCCAGTTGGTCTCTGTCTTTTTTTTTTTTTAATTTTTATTAGTGAAACACCATGAGGTACAATTGTAGACTTACAAATTTTTGTGTTTGGGTTTCAGTTATACAATGATCAAGTATCCATCCCTCCACCTCCTGATGGGCTGGGTATTGTCATGTGACTACCCCTTTTTCAGAGGAAGAAGGGCACCTTGACCTACAGCTCCATCACAATTGCCTGCAACTGGAAAAAAGTTAGGTTGAAGCTCCAGGTGAATCAAAGGACATAGAGTTAATGCCAAGGGGAAGAGGGAAAAACAATAATTGGCTCATTATAAAAGTGCAGACTATAATTTCACTTATATGACTTTATGGAAAAGGCATTGCCAAGGGTGGTAAGTGAGTCAGTGATTGCCAAAGATTAAGGGTGACAATCTGACTACAGAGGAAGATTAGGGGAGTTTTCTGGGGGACGATATAACTGTATGTACATGTTAAAATTCACTGAACTGTACTCTAAAGCCAAAGTCAATTTTGCTATACGTGAATAAAAATAACAGTGAAATAGAAATGCATACAAGAAAACAGGTTGAAGCTGCTTTTAATTCCTGCCTCTTGATAAGCTGATTTTTAAACAAAGTGTTCAGAAGATTTTCACATATTAACTATTCTTCATTTTTTGAAACAGTATTTAGAGCTTCGATTTAACAAATATGTTCGTCTCTGTGGAACAGTCCTCTTCATTGTTCAAACAGTAAGTAGTACTCTGTTCATTTATTTATCTTTTATCATATATTACATATATATATCACTACTGATGGTACTCAGGGTACCTTATGGGGTATCAGTCATTGAACCCGGTTGACTGTGTGTAAGGCAAGCACCTTACCCATTGTACTATCTCTTCAACCTCTATCTAAAACATTTTTATCCAGGGCCTATGATCCAAACCTCTTTGGTAGGCATATGAAAGATGAAAATGAGGTATTGAAAATGGAAAGAAACAAAAATATAAAAAATGTTGTCACTATATCAACCCTTGCAATCATTAATGTGTTAGTACATGCATAAATTCCTGGGAAAGTAAAAATTTAAGTAGACACTAAGCATTATATTGATCAAGCAGCACTTATATTCTTTGGGAAAGTACGTTTTTCTCTTATCCCATCTCCCTTTATCTCCACCAAACTGAGAGTAAGGAAATGTGTCCTGCCCCCAGGTCAAACACTATGAACTGTGTCTTTCTCCTCTAAGTTTTGATAGCCTTCTTCAGTCTGCCTGTATTTTTGAACACTCCAGTGACCTCAGGTAGTTGTAGTTTCTTTTCTGTGTATAACTTTTGTGGTTTATAGTGGTTATGCAAGAGTACTAATGTGGTATAACCTTATTTCATAGAAGTGACACTCTCAATTACAAGTTCCTTGTAATAATTATAAAGAACTATCAGAATTGAACTCCTCTCTTGCTACCTACTTAACATCTTGCTCCCTTCCCTTGTTGCTCATACTCTCCAATCACACTATGCTTCCAGGAATATTCCAAACTCTTCGCCTTTAGGTTCCTTTTTATTTTTTTCTGCCTGATATTTCTATTCCTAACTCTTCTCCTGGGCTGGAGCGATAGCACAGCGGGTAGGGTGTTTGCCTTGCATGCAGCCAACCTGGGTTTGATTCCTCTGCCCCTCTTGGAGAGCCCATCAAGCTACAGGCGAGTATCCTGCCCTCAAGGCAAAGCCTGACAAGTTAGCTACCCGTGATGTATTCAGTATGCCAAAAAAAAAAAAAAAAACAAAAACCAGTAACAACAAGTCTCACAATGGAGATGTTACTGGTGCCCGCTTGAGCAAATCAATGAACAATGGGAGGACAGAGGACAGTGGATAGTGGAGCTCTTCTCCTACATGGTTGTTAATTTTTATTAAATGATAAATTTCAGTTAATTTTTGATTTTATTTGTAAAAAATGTGTCTCAGCAAAAAATTCAATAAATAAAATTGATTTAAAAATGAAGACAGAATTCTGGTTAAATATAGAATTCTGGTTAAATGTTCTGAGCACAAAAAGCAACCAAAATGACATTTGGAGTAAAAATTGTATTTGTCTATTATTTGATTATAGGGCTGGAGTGATAGCACAGTGGCAGGGCGTTTGCCTGGCAAACTACTGAGAGTATCGCGCCCGCACGGCAAAGCCTGGCAAGCTACCCGTGACGTATTCAATATGCCAAACACAGTTACGACAAGTCTCACAATAGAGATGTTACTGGTGCCAGCTCAAGCAAATCGATGAACAAGGGGAGTACAGTGCTACAGTTTTAAGTAATAGATAAGAAAAAATTAACATAAAGATATTGGGAAATATTATTGTCTTTGCTTGAAAGCTCACTGTTACAAATCAGGGTTATCTATTAAGATGGAAATATGTGAGCACAGTTCACTGTCAGATCACCCACATCCCAACTCGGGATGTATAATTCTTTTCTTTTTCTTTATGGGGTTCCTTTTCTCTCACTCTTCTCTCTCACTCTCTCCTTCCTTTCTCATATCTTCTCATGCTCACTCCTCCCGTTGTTCATCTATTTGCTCGAGCAGGCCCAGTCACATTGTGAGATTTGTTACTGTGTTTGGCATATCGAATACGTCACGCGTAGCTTGCCAGGCTTTGCCATGCGGGCAAGATACTCTCAGCAGCTTCCCAGGCTCTCTGAGAGGGGCGGAGGAATTGAACTTGGGTCAGCCATGTTGGCTGTGTGCAAGGCGAAGGCCCTACCTGCTGTGCTATCGCTCCAGCCCCTCATATCTCCTAAAGAAAACTATTTTAGTTCAAAAATAAATAAATGAAATTTGAAATGTACTACCTAACTGAAGAAGCCCCACAGTAAAAGAGCAGATCTATATGCATGGGAGAGTTTTATAAAGCCAGAATACACAGTCCAGTGATTCAATTATATGAAACTATAGATGTACTGATTAACATAGTTGGAAAGCAAAGTTTTGCCAAGGAGTCAGGGACAGGAAATATCTCCCAGCCTTCTGCTAAAGGCTTGGCTTGGTCACTGGCATATGATTGATATCTGTCTTCTCCTTGGCAACTACATGCTTGAGGATTTTTTGTTGTTGTTGTTTGTTTGTTTTTTGTATTTTTATTTTTTTTTTTTGCTTTTTGGGTCACACCGAGCAATGCTCAGGGGTTACTCCTGGCTCTGCACTCAGGAATCACTCCTGGCAGTGCTCAGGGGACCATATGGGATGCTGCGAATCAAACCTGGGTCAGCCGAGTGCAAGGCAAACGCCCTACCCGCTGTGCTATTACTCCAACCCCTCAGTTCTGAATCTTTAACTCAGACAGAATAAAGACTGTGGGAAGCTAGTTCATTCTTGAAAAAAACGGAGGAGCTTCATCATTGCCTATGGTAAGACTCGAGTCATATAATCAAAAATTTCAGTACTACATGTTATATTTACCCTGTAGTTTTATAAAGTAATCATAGAATTAATTAGCTTCTATGTGTGATGTATTTAAAACTGATGGTGGAAGGAAGCAGATAACCTGGAGGGTGAAATATTATATGCCTGAAACCCTATCATTAACAGTTTTATAAGTCAAGGTTCTTCTTCTTCTAAAAAACCAAATTGTTTTCATAAAAATTACCATTAACAAGAAAAATGTTATTTTGGGGAAAATACCAATGATTCTCATTCAATGTTGTACTTATATTAATAAGTATTTTTTAGATGTTCAAATAGAAAAGCAGTATTTTAAAAGGTATAATATACTTTTCATTGGCTCAGAATTTTTTGATATGAATTTATTTGTTTGATGAATGGGCTTGCAAATTTTATAACAAATTTTCAAAATTTCCACTCAACAACGCACTTTTAAATTTTCAACTCTATTAGCGTTTTGTTTTGTTAGCTTTTAAATCATATCCAGAGGTGCTCAGGGCTTACTCCTGGCTCTGCACTCAGGGCTCACTCCTGGCTGGGCTCTCAGGGGCTACACAAAGTGCCACTGATCGAACCCAGGTCAGCCCACAGGCAAGGCAAATGCCCTAGCTGTTGTATTGTCACTATGGCCCACTTTTTCTCACTGTTTTAAAGCTAGAAAAAATTTTTATTTCAAGCTTGAGTTGATGAATCAGTGACCCAAAATTCATTATAAGATTAATATTTTTGTAAACTATAACAACAGACAAACAGAAGAGGTATGTAGTTATATATATATGTGTGTGTGTGTGTGTGTGTGTGTGTGTGTATCTATTACGGTCACGGTCCTCCCGTTGTTCATTGATTTTGCTCGAGCGGGCCCAGTAACATGTTGAGACTTGTTAACTGTGTTTGGCATATCGAATACGTCACGGGTAGCTTGCCAGGCTTTGCCATGTGGCAAGATATTTTCGGTAGCTTGCCGGGCTCTCGAGAGGAGCAGAGGAATCAAACTTGGGTCGGCCATGTTGGCTGCATGTAAGGCAAACGCTCTACCTGCTGTGCTATTGCTCCAGCCCATATATATATATATATATATATATATATATATATATATATATGAGAGAATACAGGGGTTAAGGACCTTACCTTGATAGCAATTAGTCATGGTTTGATTCCCTGCCCACATATAGTCCTCAAGCACTGCCAGGGGTCACTAGGAATAACCTCTGAGCACCCTTGGGTGTGGCCTCCAAATGAAAATAATAAAACATTTTTCAAGTTACAAATGAAATACTTTGCGTGGGTTTGGGGTTCTACTCACTGGTACTCAGAGGCTATTCCCAAGTGGATGTTTGGGAGTTGCCCCTGGCAGTTCCTAGGGGTAATTAGGCCTGCTACATGCAAAACATGCCCTCCAGTCTTTTGAGCTGTTTTCTTGGTCTGTAGCACTGTAGCACTGTCCTCCCGTTGTTCATTGATTTGTTCAAGCAGGCACTAGTAATGTTTCACAAACAATTGTGAGACTTGTTGTTACTGCTTTTGGCATATCAAATACATCATGGGTCGCTTGCCAGGCTTTGCCATGCTGGCAAGATACTCTCAGTAGCTTGCCAGGCTCTCTGAAAGTGGCAGAGGCATCAAACCTGGATCAGCTGCGTGCAAGGCAAATGCCTTACCTGCTGTGCTATTGCTCCAGCCCAAATTAATTTTATTAAGTATATATTAAATCATTTTTATTCATAATTAATTGAAGAAGTTTATATTTGGCTTATGGGATACTGTGTACTTGGGGTTTCTCCCAGTTTGTGTTCTGGAGTTGCTCTTGGCAGTGCTCGGGGAACAATGCAGTGCCAGGGATTGAACCCATCGCTCCTGAATGCAAATCACGCACTCCAGGCTTTTGTGCCATATTCCTGCCCCCTCCACCTGCCCTGCGTTTATTTTTTTTAAATGTTTTATTTTATGATTTATACCATTTATTTGATTTTCTTTTTCCCCTCTAGATCCTGTATACTGGAATTGTTATTTATGCCCCTGCTCTGGCTTTGAATCAAGGTAATTAGAGTTACCAATTATGTCATGTTTGGGGGTTCATTTATTGTGGCCTTATTATCCCCTTGGGGTAATAAACAAGTAGAGGGGGCTTCTAGTAATCTGCAGCATCTAGGAGGGAACAAGATGGGTTCAGTATCCTCACTAGAAGCTCCTTGGGATTCCTGCGTCAATAGCTCTAAATGGTCTGTGAATTAATAGGTCTAACTGGATAGCAGATCTCTGAAGTGTCAACTAACCTTTCCCCATTCCTTGAGAAATAATCCAAATCATTTAAGGATGGGGTTGTTTGAGCTACACCCAGTAATTTCCTGGGGCTATTCCCTGCACTTGGGGATTGAACCATCAGAGTCTAGGTGGGGTCAGCTGCAAAACAAATACGTTAAATTCTGTCCAATCTCTTAATCCAGGCATCAGTTTAGTCATCAATGACTGCCAGGTCTTCCTTTCTGCCTGACACCTATGCCCAGGAAGTACCTATTTTGTTTAGCTTAGAGTCTTTGTGAAAATTTGAATGACAGTGAAAAGACCCTCAACCCCTGCCTCCATCACCTGCACCCTGCCCCACCACCCCTGTCTATTTCTGATACCGTTACAAAATGCAAGAGAAAGAGCTTGGTGTGATTTGAAATATCAGACCACTACCGGTGACAATGGGGTAACACATGGCTTTAGTGTTCCTGTAAACAAATGTAGCGCACATGTGCAGATTAGTCAGCTAGTAACTCTTAATGTGGGTGATAAAAGCAATAAAACTGGTATCCTTCATTGAAGCAAAGGTACATGCCAGTTATAGCCTTCAAAGGCTTTGGGGGAAAACCTCATGAGGTTAAAATTCGCTATCAACCAGTTTATCTCAAACAATTCCTTGTATGAGGATCAAGTGGACTCCGACGGGAAAGCAAGCAGGGTCATTCCCAGAATTATATGAGAAGGAAAACCCTGTTGAACTCTGCACTGCAGTGTCTTGGTTTCAACGTTACCATCATTATAACCTAAGTCTGTAAAGTGCAAAAGTCGCAAGACCAAGAGGACTTCCTTTATAAAATGTGCTCTTGCATCCTGAATATTAGGCCTCTTCCTTGTCAACAGTACCAGCATTGTGCATGCATAGTTTCATATAGTGGGACTAGCTATAAACTCAGCAAATGACCTTTTGGCTTTCAGTGCCATGAAAATTGTTGGCTTGATGGTTTGAAAGGGCAGTTGTGTGGAATTGGGAGAGAAACTGGGGATATTGATGGCGGGAAGGTCACACTAGTGGTGTTGAAACACTAAGTGCTTAAAACAACTGTATAATGAACAACTTTGTAAATCACAGTGTTTTTAAAATAAAAATTAATAATAAATAAATAAAACATACAAATAAATAAAGGATAGTTTGGGGCAAAATCTAACTTATTGTCTGTGAAGAAACTGTAGACTCTGTTCTTTTTTTTTTCTTTTTGAATTATACCCAGCGATGCTCGGGGGACCATATGGGATGCTAGGAATCGAACCTGGGTCGGCCGCGTGTAAGGCAAATGTCCTACCCACTGTGCTATCGCTCCAGCCCCTGTAGATTCTGTTCCTACCAATTTATCAAGCCACTTGTGAGGAAGAAATCTGAACTTAAAGGATCACACTTGGCCCACTAAAACATCAGTTGTATATTTTATTGTGACCAAGGCATTGGGAGGCCCAAGCGTAGACAAAGAAGTTGATGTGCAACAGATGCCCCAAGAGAAATTGTTAAAATGAAATTGAAACTTGATGTTTTCCAGGGCTAATTTTTTTAAAAAGTTGTTTTTGTTATGACTACTTTAACTATATACCAAAATAGAGAGAATGGTATGCTAAATCTTCATGTGAATATAATTTTACATCAGTAATTATTAACTCTTGTGGTTGGGGAGATGGCTTAAGGGCCAGAGCACTTGTTTTTTATTTGGGGCCCAAGGTCTGCTTCCTGTCACAACAAACTATTTCAGTCTCTTGCTCTTTTTTTGTGGGTGTGGTTTGGGGGTTTGGGCCACACTCGGAAGTATTCAGGAGCTATTCCTGGCTCTATACTCAGGGGGTTGGATGAGTGCCAGAGATTCAAACAGGGGTGGCATGCAGCCAAACTATTCCAAATTCAAATTGTGATTTGAGGGTCTTTGTGTAAGTTTATGTGTTTTATATATTTTTACCTCTTTTCTTTAATCTTGAAACTGAATTTTTAATATAACATAAATGATATTTGCTTTACGTAGCTGTCTATATCACTAATTTCTTTTTTCTTTCTTTTTTTTTTATTGAATCACCCTGAGATAGAGTTACAAAGCTTTCATGTTTGAGTTTCGGTCATACAATGATAGAATACCCATCCCTCCACCAGTGTATGTCTTCTGCCACCAATGTCTCCATGTCCCCTCCATTCCCAATCCTCCCCTTCCCTCTATAGCAGACAATTTCCCTCTTACTCCCTCTCTCTATCTCTATCTCTCTATCTCTCTCTCTCTCTCTCCTTTTGGGCATTATGGCTTTCAGTATAGATACTGAGAGCCTATCACATTTGGTACTTTATCTACTTTCAACACACATCTCCAATCCCGAATGATTCCTCCAGCCATCATTGACTTAGTGATTCCTTTTCTATTCCAGCTGCCTTCTCCCCCAGCTTATGAGGCAGGCTTCCAGCTATGAAACAGTATTCCTGGCCCTTATATCTTGGGTGTTAGTCTCATGTTATTTCATATTCCACAAATGAATGGAGTTATTCTATGTCTGTCCCTCTCTTTCTGATTCATTTCACTTAATATGGTACTCTACATGACCATCCACTTATAAGCAAATTTCACGACTTCATCTTTCCTAACAGCTGCATGGTATTTCATTATGTAGATGTACCAAAAGTTTTTTTTTTTTTTAACAGTCACCTGTTCTCGGGCACTCGGGTTGTTTTCAGATTCTGGTTATTGTGAACAGTTTTGCAGTGAATATACAGGTGCAGATATCATTTCTACTGTGCTCTTTTGCACCCTCGGGATATATTCCCAGAAATGGTATTGCGGGGTTATATGGAAGCTCAATTTTTAGCTTTTGAAGGAATGCCCATATTGTTTTCCAAAAAGGCTGAACCAGTCAGTATTCCCACCAACAATGAAAGAGAGTTCCTTTCTCCCCACATCTGCACCAGCACTGGTTGTTCTTATTCTTTTTGCCAGTCTCTGTGATGTGAAATGATATCTCATTGCCGTTTTGATCTGCATTTCCCTGATGATTAGTGATGTAGAGCATTTTTTCCATGTGCCTTTTGACCATCTGTATTTCTTTTTTGAGGAAACTTCTGTTCATTTCTTCTCCCCATTTTTTGATGGGGCTGGAGGATTTTTTCTTGTACTAGTATCTTGAACACTAGTTTTTTTCTTGTACTTATGTCTTGTCACACTTCTACTAGTGTCTTGTATATCCTGGTTATTGACCCCTTATCAGATGGGTATTGGATAATTTTTTTTTCCATTTCGTGTGTTATCTCTGTATTTTGGTGATTGTTTCTTTTGAGGTGCAGAATCTTCTTGGTTTAATGTAAGTCCCATTTGATTATGTTTGTTTCCACTTGCTTAGTCAGTGGTGTTTCATCCTTAATGATGCTTTTAGCTTCAATGTTATGGAAGGTTCTGCCTACATTTTCCTCTATGTACCTTATGGATTCATATCTGATATTGAGGTCTTTAATCCACTTTGATCTGACTTTTGTGCCTGGCATTAGACGAGGTCAGATTTCATAATTTTTTTTGCAGGTGGCTGTCCAGTTTTCCTAACACTACTTGTTGAAGAGGCTTTCCTTGTTCCACTTCACCTTCCTTGCTACTTTATCAAAGATTAAGTGATCATATATTTGAGAGTCTGTAACAGAATATTCAACTCTATTTCATTGGTCTGTGGGTCTATTTCTAGCACAATACCATGCCGTTTTAATTACTATTGCTTTGTAGTACAATTTGAAGTTGGGGAAAGTGATGCCACCCATCTTCTTTTTCCCAAGGATTACTTTAGCTATTCATGGAGGTTTATTGTTCCATGTGAATTTCAGGGATATTTAGTCTATTTCTTTGAAAAATGCCATGGATATCCTGGTAGGGACTGCTTTAAATCTGTATAGTGCTTTGGGAAGTATTGCCATTTTGATAATGTTAATCCCACCTATCCATGAGCAGGGGATGTATCTCCATTTCCTACTGTCCTCTTTTATTTCTTGTAGTGTTTTGTAATTTTCCTTGTGTAGGTCCTTTACCTCTTTAGTGTATCACTAATTTCTAAACCTTGGCTGCACATTGGACTTACTCATGAAATTTGTAAAAATTATGATACTGAAACCTTATCACCTGTAAATCATTTGCTTGATAAGTGGTTCATTATCATGATTCAAAATTTTTCTCTGTTCCTTTATAAAGTTGAGAATCTTGAATTATGTTTTAGATTAGTAATTACAGTATTACCAATAATATGGTTGCACAACCAGTTAAAAATTATTTCTTTGTGTGTCTTTTTTCTTTATCCTTAAAATGTATCTCAATAGGGTATATATCAAATAATTATGATTTAAAGTGTTGTGTCATGTTTAATCAGGTTTGTTTAATCACATACTTGAGAACAATTGGGTTAATCTATTTTGTTTTGATTTTTTTAAGTGGTTTCATTTTTTGAGGTCTTTGTTTGGTTGGGGACCACAATTAGTGGTGCTCATGGCTTATTTCTGGCTTTGCACTCAGGGATCATTCCTGGCAGGGTACAGAGAACTATATGGGATGCCAGAAATTGAACTTGGGTTCAAGGCATGCACCCTGCCCACGGTACTACCGCTCCAGCCCCTCTTTTATGTCGTTTCTTTTCAAGTTTAATTTTTGTAATTTATATAGAATACTTAAATAGCTTAAAGGTCAGTCTACAAAATGAGATATTTTTTGAGAAATCTAACGTATCACTATATCCTCTAGTCTCTTCCCTTCCTCCTCTATAAATGATATTTCAGATTTGTTTTATATTTATCCTTAAATTTTTCAGTATTTATAACTTTTAAAATAAAATTTTTAGAGCAAAGAAAAAAGAAGGTGATTTTCCTTTGTCCCTGTGCTTGCATTCCTGTACCCCATTATCAATATTACTCAGCAGAATAGAACATTTATTATCAAGGATAAACTTACATTGACATGTTATCATCACCCAAAGTCCATAGTTTACCTTAAGACTCACTTTTGCTGTTACATGTTCAGTGGCTTTTGGACAGTATTAAAATTCATTGAATAAAAATACTCAGCATTATCTTGTTTACTTTCAAGTTTTGGCAATTAGGAGTAAAGTTGCCATAAACATCTGTGAATGGATTTTAGTGTAGAGATAACTTTTTGCTTTATATAGATCAAGAGCAAGGAGCACAATTATTAAGGTTTTTTTTTAAGCGTATGCTTATATTTGCAAGAAATGCCAGGCAATCTCCCAAACTAGCTTTGATTTTTTTTTTTGCATTTTCACTAAAAACAGGAGAGTTTCTATTGTTCCATAATATCTCCAGCATTTGTTGTTTCTGATATTTTAGATTTGGGCCACTCTAATAGGTTTGTCGTGGTATCCTGTTGTTTTCATTTGTATTTCCCTGAAGACAAATGCTGTAGAACCTGGTTTTACTTGTTATTATACTTGGATGGGCTGGAGTGACAGTACAGCGGGTAGGGTGTTTTCCTTGCATGCCGTCGACCCGAGTTCGATTCCTATGTCCCTCTCAAAGAGACTGGCAAGCTACCAAGAGTATCACGCCCACACGGCAGAGCCTGGCAAGCTCCCTGTGGTGTATTCAATATGCCAAAAACAGTTAACAACAAGTCTCACAATAGAGATGTTACTGGTGTCTGCTTGAGCAAATCGATGAACAATGGGAGGACAGTGCTACAGTGCTATACTTGGATAAAATGTCTGCCAAGGTGTTTATCCAATCTTAATATCTGATTACTTTTTTCACCAGTTTTAAAGGTTCATTGTTTATTTTGGATAACCCAGTAGTTCTATCTAATATATTTTCTTTTCGTTTGTTTGTTTGTTTTTGAGCACATGGCAGTGCTCAAGGCTTACTCAAAGCTTTGCAGTCAGGGATTACTCTTGGTGGGGCTCAGGGAACTATATGGGAACCAGGGAATTAAATGTGGGTTACCCACATGCAAGGCAAGTGCCTTATTTAGTGTATTATCTCTCCAGCCTCTGTAATATGTGATTTTGAAAATATTTTGTCACAATCTGTGACTGGTTTTCTAACTCTCTTGATAAATCTTTCACAGAATAGATGTGGTAGGGTGTTCGCCTTACAAGCGGCCAACATGGCCGACCCGAGTTCGATTCCTCCGCCCCTCTCGGAGAGCCCGGCAAGCTACCGAGAGTATTCGATATGCCAGACACAGTAACAACAAAGTCTCCAATGGAGACGTTACTGGGCCCGCTCGAGCAAATCGACGATCAACGGGAGGGCCTTTACCTTACCTTTATAAACTTCACACTTCTATACGTACATAGGACTTACCCCACCCAGCAGTAAAGTTCTATTATCAGCTCAGTGTCAAAATGACCTTTCTGTCCCTTTCAGCCCCTTCCCCACCCCTCCCCTCTCTTGGATTGGATTTCACTAAGTTTTGCTATTGGTTTTGTTCTTAGCCTTCTTTTTCTTGAACGAAGGAGTGGGCCATATTCAGCTATGCTCAAGGTTTATTCCTGGCTCTGTGCTCAGAAGTGACCCTTGGCCATGCTCAGGAAGCCATATGTGTGTGCTGGGGATTTTAAGTAGTGTTTGTGGTATGCAAAGCAAGTGCCCTAACTCCTATACTATTTCTCGGTCCCTTAGTTTTGTTGTTTTTGTCAGCTCATGCAGGTTATTTATTTATAATCCACATGTAAGTGAAGTCATCTCATAATTGTCTTTCACTTCCTTTCTTATTTCAACCTAGCATAATCACCTTACATTCCACCCATTTTGTTCCCCAAGTCACAGTTTTGTTTTGTGGAATGAAGACCACCCACTATAATGCTCAAAGGTCCCAGGATACCCCCCAGTGATGCTCAGGCCCACAGTGTGGGCCTGACAGTTTTTTGCCTGGTGGTATAGTGCTTGGACCCAGGGGTGCTTACAAGGTCCCTGGCCTTTTTATGGTGACATGCTATTTTATTGACTGTTGCTTTGTATCATAGTTTGACAACAAGGAACACAATGCTTCTGTGTTTCTTCTTCTTTCTCAGAATGGCTTTGACTACTCAGGGTTTTTTTGTGATTTCATAAGAAATGGAGATTTGTATGCTCTATTTCCTTGAATAATGCCATTAGTATTTTGTTTTTAAAAAGTTAATGATTTCAGGAATCAAACCCCAGACCTCACAAGTGCTCTGCTGTTGAGTTATGTCACTTTCCACTGTTGGTATTGCAATAAGGATTGTGCTGGGTCTGTAAATTTGCTTAGTTGGTATGGTGATTTTAACAATGTTTTTAGCAGCATGTCTCATTTTCTGACAGCAGTACAGTCTTTTGCTCCACTCTAGACCTTCTCTTTCCTCCCCTGGCATGGGCAGTTCTGCCAGCAGCAAAGATGGCATGTGCTGTCATGTGCCATGAGACTAATGTCTTCTCAGAATCTTATTCATCTAACCCCATGCAGTGCAAGCACAAGCTTCCACATGCATGGGTCTATCAGGCAAACAAGATGGCTCTCGAGGGAGTATCCTATAAGATTTAGAATTGATTTCTGGTTGAGCATGAACAGAAGGTTGCTTAGCGGAATCTATTCTGCCATGTCTTAAATACACACACAATCAAATTATTTTTTTTTAATTTTTATTAGTGAAACACCATGAGGTACAGTTGTAGACTTCCAAATTTTTATGCTTGGGTTTCAGTTATACAATGATCCAGTAACTATCCCTCCACCAGTGCCTATTCTCCATCATTTACATTTTTAAAAAATTTTTGTTTATGAAAAATTATGGAACGCTTCAGGAATTTGCGTGTCATCCTTGCGCAGGGGCCATGCTAATCTCTGTATCGTTCCAATTTTAGTATATGTGCTGCCGAAGCGAGCACCACAATCAATTTTTTTAAAACTCTATTTGTTCAGAAGCATCTAATGAAATTTAAACTGAGTTTTAAGCAAATGTGTATAGAGCTAGGTGCTCAAAAAATAGTACAGCATCGCCCTGCTGGTTTTCTTGAGAAGTACATTTATTGTGCCTCTTTCAGTCAGTCATGCATGTTCTTTCCTTCCACAGTCACAGGATTTGATCTGTGGGGTGCAGTAGTAGCAACGGGGGTGGTCTGCACGTTCTACTGCACGTTGGTATGTGAAGAATATAATATTTCTCCTTTTGCTGTACTACTTGCTTTGCAAAATTGAACACTCTATCTGTGGTGTGCTACGAACTGGGCTGTTTGCATCTCCTCTCCTGCTCCCATTGCCCACTGTGCAACTTTGTATAACTGATATTGTTTTAAGTAAGATATGATATTTCATAGACCATAATCATCATTGAAATTATTTTTTTATCTACATAATTACATTGTTCTCCAATATTATGTCATAATCCATGTTAATGATTGTCAGGTTATTGTAGCTGTTCTCATATTATTGTCAGGTTATTGTAGCTGTTCTCATATTATTCCCGAGCAGAGAAACCTAAGAGATTACTTTATTTCCTACAGGCAAGGCGACTGTTGAAATGTGTAACAAGTCAGGATGGCACACACTCCAATGTTATGGTGGATGATGTGGTACAAGTGCTCTGGCATCCCTACTAGGCTAGGTCTTACCTCTTTTGTTACTAGCTTATCTGGGAGACAGACTCCCCACAAAGGGACTTTTTTTAGACAAGGTTATAGAATGAGAGGGACACCTGGGAAATTTTTGGCAATGGCCAACACAAAACAATGTAAGCGTTTCTGCAACAGGTATGACTTTCTGAGTGCATACTAGTTGACTGGCAGCCCTGCTTACATTGTCTATAATAGTATCAAAATTTAGGAAAATATCTTTTGCAGTCTAAGCCCAAATTTTCTTCCCAACAACTATACTTCACTTCAAAGTATATATCTGGGCATACTGAATAAGTCATGCAATTTGACCTCTATGCTTTTGCCCTTATTTTTCTCTGCTGGGACTACCTTCCATCTTTTCCTTTGCTTATTCTTGAAACTCTGGTTTAAATACCACCTTACTTAGAAGTTCATTCCAATCTGTTTTTGAATGTGTTTATTGGGCAAGATCCATGTGTTTATTGCTTTTCTTGTACAGCATATAAATAATAATGTTGAATGAAAGCATTAATCCTAATTTTCCTTAAAAGGGTGGTCTTAAAGCTGTTATCTGGACGGACGTTTTTCAAGTTGGGATCATGGTGGCTGGATTTGCATCTGTGATTATACAGGCCACATTGGTGCAGGGTGGAATCAGAAAGATTCTAGATGATTCTTATAATGGTGGAAGACTAAACTTCTGGAAGTAAGTTACCATTTACCTCTTTGCCAATACAACATTTCTCTCCCCTCCCCTCCAACCCTGTACTATTTCTAATTGAAATAGTAAATTTACAGTAGAAAACAAATCAGTCACTTAGAATGTGGTACTGAGAACTAAAGCTGGAAAATGTCTACATAATGGGTTCTACCTTAAGGGATTTCTTTTTCCTTTTTCTGTTTTGGTTCTGGGATCACACCTGGATCCCAAAAGCTTAGAATTTACTCTTGGCTCTGTGCTTGGAGTCCACTCCTGATGGTGCTCAGGAGACCAAGTATCAAACCCAAATCGGGATTGTAAAGGAAGTGCCTAACCACTCTACTACATCTCCAGCCCCTTACTGGCTTTCTTAACTCATAAGAGAGCTACTCATTTACCTGATAATAGCAGTGTTCTCCTGAGAAAGGCTGATATCTAGTGTCTTCTAGATATCAAAGTCTGGAATAGATTGAAGGTTGAAATATAGCAACAAAAGGGAAAGTGTAAAGAAAAGAAAAGGAAGCCATTTTTGGAGAAAGATGTGCAAAAAATCTTATTCCCAACAAGACAGTTATGTTTATATTTTATTTCTAGGAAATTGACAAGAAAAATAAAGACCGATTACCTTTTGTGTCCGTAGAGCATATGATAACAACATTTCTTAAACAGATGCACAGTTTTCCTAAAGAGAAAATAATAAGGAACCTAGATAATTTTGCCCTAGCTATATGGGAATTGAACCCTGGTTGGTCACGTGCAAGGCAAACGTCCTCCCTGCTGTGCTATCACTCCAGTCCCTACAGTGAATCATCTTCAACTGTTTTCAGTACTTTATTTTTTTCTCTTGAACCTCAAGATTCAGAGTTCCAGCAAAAGAACCTCCCATGGGCCTAAAGCATGCTTTTATTCCTTAACTAGGGTAGAGCAGATCTGTTGTTTGACAGCCGTTAAGAAATGATAGTTTGCCCCAAACAAATGTGGACAGTATTACCAGAAAAGGGAGCCATTGATACTCAGAAGAAGAACCAATCAGTGGCTGCATAGATGTTGTGACTTCTAAATCTCTTCCTAGTACGCTAGGTTGAGGGAAAGGATGTGGAAGCAATAGTTTTTCTGCAAGATAACTGTCACATTCTACAAAAGATGCAAATATTACAGCATTGAACTTCATCAGGAAAGTCTAAGAAGTAAATTTTTCTCATCTTTATGTCGAAGGCTGATAGCTATTAGGTAGTGAAAAATCTTATTGCGTACTCCTTGACTTTTTTTTTAAAAAATGATGCACAAACATTTGCTCTGGTTGAAATAAGTGAAAAGAAGGGTTTTAGTTTATGCCACTCATCAAATCTTTTTGGTTCTTTTTTAATTTGTTATATTTTATGGCCACACCCAACTGTTCTCAGGGGCTACTTCCAGCTCTGTGCTGGAAGTGGAACCAGCCCATGTGGGGGATCATGTGATGCTGGGAATTGAACTTAGGCCTCCTGTGTTGCAAATAATACCTTGAACTCTCTCTCTGATTCATTCTCTTAATTTCTATTAGCTTATAAAATAGTTACATTCTGGGATAAGAAAGGATCATCACCCTTCAAATGCCTAGTCTTTGATATTAAATGTTATAGGATGGAACAAATGTTTTCGTAGTTCCATGGGAATGCAAGTATATGCATAAAATTAGAATATTTTACCAATCTCAAATAAAGATTTGACATGGATTTGCAGAATTTCTTGATTTTTCAGAAAGTTTCCATGAAGGTGAGTTTTACAGAAAATTTTGAAGCGCATATATTAAAGTTAGTAGAATCAGTCATTCCAAAGTTAAAAGATGTATGGATACTGAAGTTGAATTTTTTTTGTAATAATATTTTAGATTTAGCACATGTCATAAAATGATTGCTATTAGCATTTAGCTTATAGGAACAGCATTTTAAGAAAGTGTGTGAGAGACAGTACAGGTATCAATGCACTTGCTTTGCACACAACTGACCCTGGTAGATCTTGGGCACCACACTTGGTCTCCTGAACACTGCCAAGGGTGACTGGTCTCAGGGCTAGAAGTAAACTCTGAACACAGAGGAATGTAGCTCACACAAGATAAAAAAAAAAGTAAAAGATAAAAAAGCATGATTAATAAAATGGTAGTTTTAGAACATGAATTTTCTTAACTAATTTTTTGACCTTGACTATAAATTAGAACTATGACTATACATGTACTAGGAGTAGAATTGGATATACAAAAATGTGAATTTTGTGTTTCTTTTAGTGCACAAAAGGAAAGTTCCCCTCCCACCCCTTTCTCCCTCTCTCATTTCCTTTTCCCTCACTTCTTTAAATTCAGCTGGACAGAGTTGTCAAAATAGCATTATCCTAAGGCCATGAGAAATAATTTTTATGAATGTTCAGAATGATTATATCATTGTCCCTAATCCCATTAGAATTTCTAAATCCCTGAAAGTATCAATTGTTATTTCAGTAAGCTAAAGTCAGGAGTGTTTCTTTTATATTTTATAATAAATGTATACACTTTTATAAATATCTGTGTATTTCTATAGGCCTAATATTACTTTCATACAAAAATATTCTAGGAAGAATTTTGTAGCTTTATTTTTATTTACCAGGATTTAAGTTAATTTTCTGTTTTTTTTTTTTCATTTAGTTTTGATCCTAATCCTTTGCAAAGACACACGTTCTGGACAATTATTATAGGAGGGACCTTCACCTGGACCAGCATCTATGGTGTGAACCAGTCCCAAGTGCAGAGATATATTTCCTGTAAAAGTCGATTTCAGGCAAAACTGTAAGCCAAACTATGGTATCTAAGTCATTAATAATGGTCAGTTCTGTTTTTAGTAAACCCATACTTAAGTCTTTTGTATCATGAAATTCCAAGGAATAAATGACAGACTTACAGACAAAAGTGTCCAGTAGAATAAATGGTACTTTATGTTTAAAAAAATCTAAAAATATTTACTTAAATTATTAAGCAAAACATCAAATTATCAAATGTTAGTAAGCGATTTATTTAAATGCCAGTAAAGTCCAATCAAACTGTATGTAAAGTATTAAACTCAGAATCAAGGGAGATATTGGAGCAGAAGAATACTTGGATATATTTTCTGATGATTAGAAGGAAATAGAATTGCTCTTTGTTTTGTGTCATATCCAGTGGGGCGATGGGCTTACTCATGGTTTTGTGCTCAGGGCTCGTTCCTAGAGGTGCTGGGGGGACCATATATGGTACCAGAAAATCAAAGCCAGGTTTGGTTTCTTGCAAGGCAAACACCTTCCTGTGCTATCTCTCTGGCTCTTATAATGATTATTTTTCACAGTTATAATATGTACAGTAGATTGATGAGAAGCATGCAGTCTATTCAAGGGGAAAGGCTAGCTGTGCATAATACCACCTTCTTTGGAAGACTCTGGGTCATAGAGAGAAATTAGATTGCAGTGGTGTTGTGTGTGGGTCCACTCTAAAGAATTTGTAAACCACGGAGTCTCAAAAACAAGTCTCAAAAACAAGTTCTTTTGACTTGCCCCACTTCAGGGTTAGGAGACCCAGGCTTTATCCCTTTGCATTTAATGGTTTTGGATACAAGTTGCTTTAGAGAAGAAGGTATAGCTTTGGGTTGGCACCTCTTCAGCTTTTCTATTGCACCACAAGGGAAAAATATAGCCACCTTAGTAAAAAAATGTTTCCTATTCAACTAATAATTTGGCGGCAGAAATCCCAGCAATGCTTAGGGCCAAACAGGCTGGGAAGTTCAATGCTTGGGCCTGGGTTGATGGTGCCAATTGGGCCCAAGAATGTTGAGGGACACCAAGTCCACATCATGTAGTGCTTAGGGCAAGAAATACTCTCTGACCCTGGACCCATCCCCCAAACCCCTCGGCTACTTATTAAGATCACATTCAATATCATTACCCCTAATAACATCAATAACTACCTCTTAATTGTCTGTTACATTTCATGCACCATGTTATTAGGATATGTCCTGTCTCATTTAATCTTAGAACTCTAGAAGGTGTTTGACTGCAGGTGTAAACTAAGAAACGCATTTGATGAAATTAAATTACTTGCCCAGAGGCCCCTTGGTAGAGCTGGAATTTATGGTCAGGTTTGATCCCAGTGCCTGTATGTAAATCTACAGAAACCCAGATGGTTCACCATATTTTATATACTGAACCTGTCCAGGGTCTCAAGCTTTTCTTTGATACTTGTTGTATGGTATCACAAACCACATTTATGTATGTTTGATGAACTTCTATGTAGATGCTAACAGTATTTAGCATTTTATATCAGTATAAGCACTTTATAACAATACTTATAACAGTATAAGCAGTTTATAACATTACTTTTACTTGGAAAAGAAATCTTAGATATCGATCTGTTGACTAGAGCAATAAGGATTGACCATTACAATCTTTATTTCATAACAAGAAGCCCGGGAGTAGTTTAATTCCATACTTGGACAGGGTTAGAAATATCAATGAACTCTGACAAGGAGGATACATTCATTGAACGGAAGTCTCCATCACTTTTCTGTCTGTCCAAATCCATTCTGGATTGACATAATAAGCAAGAGGTAATGCCAGAATAAAACATGCATTTATTGAACATAATGTTAAAGAACATGCATGAAGACAGTATGCATTTATTGAACATGGTGTTAAAGGTCTCTTCTGTTTATGTGACTAGTTTTCTAATCTTTGGAATCTACATATTAAATTTAGTTTATGGTTTCTTTTCATGTCTTTAGGTCTCTCTATGTCAATCTCATAGGACTCTGGGGAATCCTTGCCTGCTCAGTGCTTTGTGGACTTGCCCTGTATTCCAGGTACCATGACTGTGATCCTTGGACATCCAACAAAGTATCTGCACCAGACCAGGTTCAGTACTATGTATTTTTTTTTGCATGTGAACTAGAAAGATTATTAGTTGAAAGGAAAGGGTTCATACTCTTGTGGAGAGGCAACAAGTGGCTATAATCTTTAATCTCTCTAAAGTACTTTGCAAAAAATGTTTTAGCAGCTATAGGAGGAATGAAGAATGTTGGATTCAAAATTAAAATGGCTGGAAAAAATTTAAGCCAACCTTTAAATAGAAGTAATTGATGGCTGAAAGTAAAACTCAAACACAGTTAAAAGAAGACTACATGCCAACTGCAGTCTTATGAGACATTCTGTGGATAATTGCCAGGTCACTCATTTATAAATGGTTTGCATTCCAGTTTTTTCAGTGATGGAGAAGCAATTCTAATAAGGGAATTTTTGTTAAGCATCAACTCTGTTATAAGATTTGGTGCTGAGAGCAGTGCAGGCATTTTTGGAATAGGGGTGGGATTGGACCACACCTAGCTGTGCTCAGGAGTTAATATTGGCTCTGTGCTTTAGGACCAGTTTTGGGGTGCTAGGGAACTATACAGTACCAGACATCTAGGTCTCCCTCATGCAAAGTGTGAGCTCAGCCTGTTGAGCTATCTTTCCAGCCAGATTTTCATACTTCATGACTTTTAATTCTTAAAACATAGTTGTTATGGTTTCTTTTAATAGTCTCTTATTGTGTGTGTGGGGATCACATGTGGCTATGTTCAGTTAAGAAAGAAAGAAAGAAAGAAAGAAAGAAAGAAAGAAAGAAAGAAAGAAAGAAAGAAAGAAAGAGAGAAAGAAACATTATATGGAACAAAAAACAATATTTTATGATTTTTGTCGATATATATAATCTGTGGCTTGTATCCCAAGATCATTGGGATTTTAAAAATTTTATTTAAAAAGAGTCACTTGAAGTCTTTCTGGAGCCATGCCTAGTAGAGTAGGGGACAATGTAGAGCTGAGAAATGAACTCCAGCCTTAGCCTTTACTGGGCACATGCTTTACCTCTTGATGTATCTCTGCAGTCCCTAAAATAAAGACTTATTAACTTCCCTTTTTCCCTGGGGAAAAAGGGGATACATTCCTGCATATCCCTACTCTGGAAACTCTAGAATGCACTTGGGCTATTTTGCATGTCAGTACTTACCACTTTGAGAGTCTCTGTCAATTTTTGTTTACTTTTGGGCCACACCCAGAGATGTTCAGGCTCTGTGCTCCTGGCTCTGTGCTCAGGAATACTCCTAGCAGGTTCAACTGATCATATGGGATGCTGGAATCAAATCTGGGTTGGGTAGCATAAGACCATCACCCTACCCACTGTACTGTCTTGCTGGTCCCCTCAATACTTTTTAAAGAAATATTTTTTCATTAAAATGACATGTTACAACAATATATACATTTTATGTATATGTTATTAAAATCATTGTCTTTATTTCTTTAGCTTTAGAATATAAATTTCTAGCAATAGAATTTTTCTTCTTTATTTGTCTTGAGAGAACATAATTTGCAGCAGTTCCCAAATCATTGTTCTATATTTGCTGCTTTGCTACTTCTCCACCTCCATCACAGAGGTTCATTAACCCTCCACTGCTGTCCCATTGTCCATTCTCCCCATGTAAACTTCTTTTTTTTTGGTTTTGTTTCGTTTGGGGCCATACCTAGCATGCTCAGGGCCTACTCCTGACTCTGTGCTTAGGGGTCACTCCTGTTGGGATCTTGGCTGGGGATCAAACAGGCATCTACCAAACGCAAGACAAGTGCCTTACCTGCTATGCTATTACTCCAGCCCCAAGGCCCCCTGTAAGCGTTCTTTAAGATAGGGAAGAATAGAATGGTGAAAAGGAAAATTCCTAATAAGGTGAAGGACACGATTGGTAATTCAGAATCCCAGAGCGAGTTGAGGGGAAAAACTACAAAATGTAATGTAACATCATATCTTACTTGCATACAATGGTAGCACTGTAGCACTGTCCTCCTGTTGTTCATCCAACGATTTGCTTGAGCGGGAACCAGTAAATTTTCACAACAAATTGTGAGACTTGTTATTACTGTTTTTGGCATATCAAATACGTCACAGGGAGCTTGCCAGGCTTTGTCGTGCGGGCGAGATACTCTCAGTAGCTTGCCGGGCTCTCTGAGAGGGGCGAAGGAATTGAACCTGGGTCGGCCGCAAACGCCCTACCAGATGTGCTATCGCTCCAGCCCACATACAGTGATACTTTAAATTAAAAAAATAACTAGAGGAAGTGTCTTTCCTATCTGCAGAGGAACATGCATCAGGTTATGGTGACTTTTCCTTCTGCTTCATCTTCGGCTGAGCTCCTCATCTGCTTGTATAATCTAATATTCTTCTCTAGTTTGCTGTGCGGTATTGAAGGAAGAGGTGTCTTCTAAATTGGATGATTCCAAAGCAGTGTAGTGTTGTTAGCTAATGAGTTCATGTAGTTAGCATGTTGCTGGGGCTGCAATGCCAACAAGGCAGTTCATAGAGGATCAGGCCAAAACTTTAACCTGAGTAGACTAGAGACTGTCTCTCCTATGCTTCTTTGATGCCCTGTTGGAACAAACAGGAGGCAGATTTAGCTCTTAGTCCCTTTTCTATATTATTGCATCATTCTACCTATACCTGACAGGCCATTCCGAGATGTTTTAAAGATCATCATGCCAAAGATTTCAAAGATGGCTAATGATAAAGTAGAGGATTTCAGCTTTCCTGGTAAAATGAATGGGAGAAACTTCTTTTGTTTATGTACAGAATGCTGCTTGGAGTTATACTTTTAAGAGAGCTTGGGGGAAAAAGGAGAGCTTGGAACCTTTAGGTCTGAATTTTGTCTAGAGAGTGCTGCTACTCTCTTAGTCTGTGGATGAATAATTAAGACTTGGAGAAAGGGGAAAGTCAATAAAAACCAGTTAAGATAGATCCTTGCTTCAATGATGGATGTTCTTCTTCTATGTCCCATCAGCAACTATTAAGTTAAAGAGGGTTGAATGAAGGGGCTGGAAAGATAGCACAGCAGGTAGGGTGTTTTCCTTGCATGCAGCCGACCCAGGTTCTATTCCCAGCATCCCATATGGTCCTCGAAACACCACCAGGAGTAATTCCTGAGTGCATGAGCCAGGAGTAACCCCTGTGCATCGCTGGGTGTGACCCAAAAAGAAAAAAAAAAGTGTTGAATGAAAAGTAGCAGCCCTTTTCTCCACCTACTGTTAAAATCATCCACCTTCCCATCTTTATTACTTACATTTTGAAAAAAGGCCACATGGGGTAGGAAGATAATTCTGGGGTTAGGGTGCTTGTCTTGCATGCGGCCAACTCCTGTCCATACTCAGCATGACACAGTTCCCTGAGCGCTGCCGAGCAGAGCAATCCTGAGCACAGGGAGGGGAATTTTCCCTGAGCACTGCAGGTGTGCCTCTGTCAACAGAGGTGTGCCTTTTCAACAGAAAAGCAATGTCAGAAATCACTTTGGTATCAGGAACTTTTTGTTTTTAATGAATCACTGTGAAATACAGACTTACAAACTTTCGTGATTACATTTCAGTCATACAGTGATTGAGTACCCATCCCTCCACCAGTGTCCCTTCTCCACCACCAATATTCCCAATATCCCTCCCGCCACCCCCACCCCGTCTCCCCCGGCCTCTGTGGCAGGCACATTCCCTTTTACTCTTGTATTACAAACCATAACACCCAAAAGGAGAGAGGGAGAGAGAGTAAAAGGGTATCAGGAACTTTTGAAAAGAAACAAATTTCAGGTATTTCCAGAGTTACTTTCCAATTATTACTACCTCTCAGACCATATGCAAATATAATTGCCTTTTTTAAATTAAAATGTTTTAGTTGAATAGCCATGAGATAGAGCATTACAAAACCTGTTCAAAATTGGGTTTCAGTCATACAGTGATCCAGCACCCATTCCTCCACCAATGCACATTTCCCACCACCAATGTCCCCAGTTTCCCTACCACCATCCCCCAACCCCCCAACCCCCATCTCCAGCCCTCCTCTATGGGAGGCACTTTCCTTCTTGCTCTCTCTCGCTCTCTCTCCTTTTCCTTTTGTGCATATAATTGCATTTTAACTCTGACAGTGATTGGAGATTTACAGAAATGCCTTGATTCCTCAAATAAAGTTAAGTGAATTGTGCTAGCTTCATCACTGAGAACTAGAAAATATTTTGTTTAAATTGAATACTATTTCAAAGATTGAGAACCACAACCTTTTATTATTTGCTATATTTCATGTTTTATATTAAGAGCTTGACATAAATTCTACATAAATTCTATAATTTAACTTACATAGACAACTTTATGAGGTTAATGTTATTACCCACTTAAAATTTCATTTTCTTTTTTTGTTTTTGGGTCACACTCGGTTGTGTTCAGCAATCACTCCTGGTGGGGCTCAGGGGACCATACATGATTCTGGGGGATTGAACCCAGGTCTAAGCTTTGTGTATGACAAGTGCTTTACCAGCTGTACCATATCTTCAGCCATCATCACCCTATTTTAAGATGAGGAAATTTAAACTCATAGAAATTAAGTTTTAAAAAGTGTATATCTGTCTGAATTCAGAGCCTGTTAAAGAACTTACTTTATGAGGCTGGAAAAATATTACAGAAGTAAGGCCTTGCATGTGGCCAACCTGGGTTTATCCTCAGCACTACAAATAGTCCCCCAAGTTCCGCCAGGAATTATCCCTGAGCACAGAGCCACAAGCAAGCCCCAAGTCCCAACCTCTGAATGAATATTTAAAAGTTTAGGAAATATTAGGTACTTTGGAAAAATATCTCCCTTCAATCCTTATAATGCACAAAGTAAATGAGGCAGTATTTACTTTTGTATGATATTAAATAATACTCAGGAGTAAATTTTGGAATTTTTCAGCTCATGCCTTATTTAGTATTGGACATTCTGCAAGATTATCCGGGACTTCCTGGCCTTTTTGTGGCCTGTGCTTACAGTGGCACATTGAGGTATGCTCTGTGACTCTAATGGTGGGTCTTCTTGGGATCTTCCTTTCGTTGGATATCGAAAAAGATAAAGTGGAGTTTTGGACTTGGAGATTAAATTGGTATTCCATGTGTCCACTCTGACTTATCTCTGGGTCAGCAATTTACTGTCATCAGTGTTTTATTTTATTTGTCCCTGCTGTCTAAAATAACATCGCATTCTCTGTAAAAAAGGGTTGATCAGTTGATGGTAGCTTTTGCTCACTATTCAAAAGGCCTACAGTCTTGGTTCAAATGTACCAAGAGATAAAATATGATTAAGTGGAAAATAAGAATTAAAATATCATATCTTGAAAAATATACACTATTCAAAGAATTTTTTCTTATGCCATTGAAAGTATTCATTGCAGTTTTTTCTTAATTTTAAGGAATTATTTTGGGTTTTTTGGTGGAGGGCCTAGCTGTGCTCAGGGGACTTAGGGCCACTCCTGGTGAGACTCAGCCAACTGGGCTGGACAGTTCAATACTTGAGCTCAGCAGTGCTGGGACTAGGGAATTCTTGTTAGAATGTTCAGTATATGTATTGAAGAGCCTAGAAATTAATATTATTGATATTTATAATATATGTTAGGGAGGATTTATGACAATCCCTTTCATGTACAAAGCAGACTATGTTTTACATCACTACCTAATAATACTGTATGATCATTGTTGATCCTTTTCATAGACTTTGGGGGGATTAATTGTAGAATGGAAACAGGACTACATTATTCTGAACAACTCCAGAGATCTGTTGAACCTATAAATATTAGCCTGAGTCTATTTTGAATAATAAGAGTCCAGAAAGGAGATGTTGTGGTTATTATAAATACTATAGTAGAATTTGGTAGTGATTTACAAGTGACAATATTTGTTTTTAGTTCACTCTCTTTCCCTTGGAGTGTTGTTAGAGAGTTGCTAAGGTTACAAATAAAAAGTGTGACTTTCCCTTACAGCACAGTGTCCTCCAGTATTAATGCCTTAGCAGCAGTAACTGTGGAAGATCTAGTCAAGCCATACTTCAGAACGCTCTCAGAAAGAGCTCTCTCTTGGACTTCCCAAGGGCTGAGTAAGTTTCCATTTTTACAATTTAGTTCATAGGATGATATATTTCTTAAATTAATTAATTAAAAACATTGAATTACAGGAGATACACAGTTATAAAGTTGTTCATGATTAACACCCACCCCTGCACCAGTGTTCATTACCCACCACCAATGTTCCTAGTTTTCCCTTCCTATTCCACTCACCTTTATGGCAGATACCTTTCTTCTTTCTCTCTGTCTCTGTCTCTGTCTCTCTCTCTCTCTGTCTCTCTTTCTCTCCTTTTGGGTATTATGGTTTGCAATACAAATACTGAAAGGTTAGGATAATTGTTTTTTGAAACCCAGTTTATTTTCTGTGGAAGATAACAGAGAAGGAACCTGAGTGTGAATGATTAAGCATATACATGTTTGTTGGTATTTAAAGTAGCCATGGTCATAGTTGCAAAGATGACATAAAAAATACTTAAAATGACTAATGATCAGGAGACCAAGAAGAATTCTTATTTAACTGCCTATTCTTTCTACCCCGAATCTATGTTAACCATAGAAAAAAATTTTAGCCTTTTTACTTTTGAAGATTAGTCATAAGCTTTAAGACATAGCCCTAGTTTGGAACCAAGAGACACATTTTCCCCTCGATTACCTATCAGAGCACTGACAATTTATGGTACATTATCTGAATACGTTAACTGATAAATAAAAGCATCGTGATTTTTTCGACATGCTTTGAGATTTTCCTAGAGAAAGTCAATAATACTGTACCAGAAATGCTCAAATATGTAGAATGTAGAATTTTATTAGGGTTTAAATAGCAGCTTGAACAAAAGATTTAAAGGTTCCAAGTTCCACCTATTTCACATGGGTCAAGGAAACCTACCTCTTTCATCATTTTGGTATCTTGGAATATGTGTTTTAGAATAATTGACATCAAAAAATTTAAACGGAGGCTGGAGTGGTACTACAGTGGGTTGAGTGCTTGCCTTGCATGTGGCTGACCTGGGTTTGATATCTGGTACCACGTATGACCCCCTGAACCCCACTAGGAGTGATCCCTGAACACAGAGCCAGGAGTGAGTCCTTAGTACCACCAGGTGTGACCTCAAAACAAAACCAAAAACAGACAAAGTTTTAACCTCACACAATTCCAATAAATAGATTCTACATATTATACCATAATTCACATATTAAGGTAAAAGGTAAAGGTAAAGGCCCTCCCGTTGATCGTCGATTTGCTCGAGCGGGCCCAGTAACGTCTCCATTGGAGACTTTGTTGTTACTGTGTTTGGCATATCGAATACTCTCAGTAGCTTGCCGGGCTCTCCGAGAGGGGCGGAGGAATCGAACTCGGGTCGGCCATGTTGGCCGCTTGTAAGGCGAATGCCCTACCGCTGTGCTATCGCTCCAGCCCATTCACACATTATTGCTAAATATAATTCTACATATAATGGAATAATGCTGCTACTGATGTGTACATAAACTCCACTAGTGTAGTTGTTCACTTATTTTTGAAGGATTCTGAAAGTTACCTTGGGGTAGATACAGTAAGGAAACATAAGGAAGAATATAACAAATAATTGAACTGTGTTGCCAATAGCTTTGAATACCAAAAATCATAATGGAGACTGTTCATGAGATACCAATTGCAAAAGTATCAAATTAAAACATGCTGAAAATAGTCTTTGTAATAGTATTCAGCTACATGACACATCCTGGCAAGAGAGCTCTGCCAAAAATTAATCCAAGGTTTTCCATTCTGAAGCAACATGGTATTTGTTCAGTATGCTTAACAAAAATGTATTAGTTTAAGTTAGATAGAAATAACATAATATGAGAAATGTACATATTTTATATTAAGCAAATTTCCCACTCACTTTTTCCGTATTTTGAGTTTTAGTATAAATTTATATTGGCTGAATTCTGGTGATTTTTGCTGAATAGAAGTCTTTTTTGGGGAATGGGAGTACGAGTAGGTTTATGGGTCACACTCAACAGTGTTCAGGGTCTGTATCTAGCTCTGTGCTCAGGAGTGATCCCCTGAAGGTACTTGGGGGACCATATGGAAAAAAAACAGAGTCTTAACTCCTCTACTAGCTCTGTCTCTGAATAGCAGTTCTTAAAATAATTAAAACATTTGAGCAAATGTTCCTACAATTTAAATATTAATACATGTATTTGGAAGAAGTATAAAGAATATTGAAAATATAAAGAATATTGAAAGAGGAAAAATAAAACCCCCAATCAGACCACTATGTGGTACATGTGAATTTCTCCTAAGAAGTTTGGGGGGAAAATATTGTTAGAAGTGGATATATAGTATTTTTAACTCAATTTAAAGCTTTCTTTCTTTGTCAGTTGAACATGAAAGATTTGGGATGCTGGTGGAGATTATGAGAGATCTACTGGGACCCAATGACCCTTTTTGTGGATTGCCATTTCCCAGAAAAAATGAATGCTTGAAGTCAGAAGTCTCAAGTTTCTTATTTTACACTCTACTCTTTTATTGTGCAGGACAGAACAGGACTGAAGTGTGTCCAATTTTTTTGAAAACTGAAAACAGAGACCCAAGCCTTTTTTTCTAAACAAATGTTGATACAGGATTAGATTAACAGCACAATGGTTCTTAGCCTTAAATCCCTATAGTTAATACTGAGGATTCTTTGCTTATATAACCTCACGTTATAACTAATCTTGGGACATGATATGAGGGTTTTGTTTCCCCTTTGCATACTGCTGATCCTTGTAGGCAGACACCCCCTCCTTTATTTTGTTGGATCTGATGCCTGTGGCCATTCTTGACCACAGTCAGAGTGCTCAATTTGAACCAAAGGTATGCAGCTTATTCTGTTGAGCATTCTAATCCTCTGGGACTGAACTTGGTGCTGACTTTTGTATTGTCCCTCTAGGTGTGCTGTTTGGAGCCCTGTGTATAGGAATGGCTGCTCTGGCATCTCTAATGGGAGCTTTATTGCAGGTATGAACTGACTTTGAATGCTGAGTAATCAGCAAAATCCTTTTCTTTTTAAATGCTAATGTAACAATCTTTCTAGACTCTTCTTTTTCTTGCTGCATTTCTCCTTCCTTCTCTAATATAGCATAAACACTAGGGTTTATTCAAAGGATGCAAGTGTGACTGCATATATGCAAATTAATGTGATGCAATACTTCAAGGAAAGAGAAAAATCATTTGATTATATTAACTGACTCAAAGAAAGCTTTTGACAGGATTCAAAATCAGTTTATGTTAAAATATCAGCAACGTGGGAATAGAAGGAACTTACCTCAGCAGTGTGGAGGCCACTCACAAACTTCCAGTTCACATCACACTCAACAGTGAAAATCTGAAAGCTTTCTTAGATCAGATAAGACATGGAAGCCCACTATTTTATTCAACACAATATTGGAATAAGGCATGAAATAAAAGGGATATACATTTGGGAAGAGAAGTAAAACATCATTATTAAATAGAGCAAGGGAATAGACAATGTTCAATGAAAACAGACCCATAGACTCTGACAACAAAATTGGAGATACTGGGCCCAAGAGATAGATGTTCAGTAGGAGATCATGTGCTTTGCATGCAGAAGACCCAGGTTCAGTTCCCGGTGCCAGATGGTTTTCTGAGCACAGAAGGTAGTGACTAGTGACCTCCAGGACAGTTATTAGTAGCACCCAGGTCCACTGGGTATGCCCAGAAACAAATTAAAACATGAAGATACCTAATGAAGTATACAGGAAGTATCCTATGGATTGTTGTAGATCATTACTCATATTTTGGTGGTGGGCATGGGTGGTGATGAGTAACCCTAAAACATTTGCAGTCTTCCAAAGTGTTACCTCAATAAACAAGTAGTAATTAAACTATTTTAAAGAAATTTCACATAATTTCAAGAAATAATGGAGTGGTTTGTTCTTTACTCAGTTTCTATCTTATAAAATAATTATATATTTACCACCAGGATATTGATACAAATACAAAATACTAAAAATTTCCATCATCATAAGGATTCCCCATATTGCCTTTTTAATAACTACTCTATTTAATAACTACTCTTTTTAATCTACTACTCTCCTGCCCTTATCACTTCTTTTTTTTTTCATTTTTATTAGTGAGACACCATGAGGTACAGTTGTAGACTTACAAATTTTTGTGCTTGGATTTCAATTATACAATGATCAAATACCCATCCTTCCACCAGTGCCCATTTCCCACCACTACGGACCTGGAGACCACAAATTTGCTCACCATTTCTATAATGTTGTCTCGTTAAGAATGATATATATAAAATAATATGGTGTGTAGCCTTTTAGGATAAACATGGGGCTGGAGCAATAGCACAGCGGTAGGGCATTTGCCTTGCACGCAGCCAACATGGCCGGCCCGAGTTCGATTCCTCCGCTTCTCTCGGAGAGCCCGGCAAGCTACCGAGAGTATCTCGCCCGCACGGCAGAGCCTGGCAAGCTCCCCGTGGCGTATTCAATATGCCAGACACAGTAACAACAAAGTCTCCAATGGAGACGTTACTGGGCCCGCTCGAGCAAATCGATGATCAACGGGAGGGCCTTTTTATTTTACTTTGGCATAATTATCTGAAATTCATTCATGTTGTATTATGTTTCAACACTTTTTAAAAATTGTTAATTAATATTAACTGCCTATAGAAAAGTGAGTAAATTCTGGTTTGGGACCATTAGGAATAAATTTGCTAGAAACATTTGTGAATAATTCTGATACTACTAACATATACATTATTATGTGAATGCAGTTCTTCAATTCTTTGGTATAATGTTCACTTGCTCACAGGTTGTTGCATGTTTAAGTTTATAAAAAAAAATTGCCACTGTTTTCCAGAGAGTGTCATTTCTTTTTTTAATTAATTTTTTAGTTGAATCATTATGGGATTTTGTAACAGTTACAAAGCTGTTCATGATTGGGTTTCAGTCATACAATGTTCCAACACCAGTCCCTTCACCAGTGTGCATTTCCCCCCCACCAATGTCCCCAGTTCTCCCCACCCCCCGCCATCTCTACAACAACACTTTTATTTTCTATTGCTCTCTTTTTCCTTTTGGATATTATAGTTTGCAATATAGACACTGAAAGGTTATCAAGTATATCCCTTTACCTACTTTAGCGCTCAGTTTTGTCCAGACTCGTCATTTCTCACATCACAAACATGCCTGGGTGTCTGTTTTGTTTCTCCAACATTTTTAGTAGTGTCCCAATTTTAGTCATTTTCGTAGATGTATACTGACATTCCCATTGTGGTTTTAATTTGCATTTTCCTAATAATGATGCTTAATATTTCTATAGATATTTATCCATCTATTCTTTTTTTTTCAACAAAATGTCTCCTCGTGCCTTTTGTTAATGTTTTAATTGAAAGGTTTGCATTTTTGTTTTGTTTTGGCACCATACCTGGCAGTACTCCAGCTAGTCTTGGCTGAGTGATCAGGGCTTGCTCTGGTGATACCCACTCAGCTCCCTTTCTCTCTCTCAGCTCAAATTGTTTTATTTTTTGTTTTTACTGTTCAGTTTTGGGAGTTACTTACAACTCCAATAATATGTCTTTGACAACTAGTTTGAAGTATTTTCTCACCATAGAACTTTGGAGCCACATCTGACAGTGTTCAACTCCTGAGTCTGTGCTCAGGGATCACTCCTGGTGGTGCTCAGGGGACCATATGTGGTGCCAGGGACCTAATCTGGGTTGGTCATGTATAAGCGCTTGAACCCCTGTATTACCTCTTTATTTCCATTCTTACAGAAGCCAGGATAAAATTGAGTGTTGTTGCCCTCCCTGGTCGCTTATCCACACTTACTTACAACCCTGTTATCAGAAGTATCTTGGGATTCTTGCAGCAAAAGAGAGTGATGTGACAATTGATGTCTTGGAGGCCAGGCCAGGAGGACTGATGTCGCTCTTGGTGATGCCACAATTTCATAATCCTTTTCTTTCTTTACAATTGGCTTCTTTTGCTCAGGACGCCTGAAGGAACAGATGGATACTGGGACTGAGAAACAGAAGCCTCTAAGTTTCTCTCATATCGTTGCTAACCTTATTGCTGCCATGATTTTCCAGAGGAATAGAATACTTTAGATTCCTTATCCCACCAACCGCCCTTTTGCTTTCAACTGGAGATTGCTAACTGTCGGATTTTCATTGTTTTTTTGTAGGCAGCACTCAGCATATTTGGCATGGTTGGCGGACCACTGATGGGCTTGTTTTCTCTAGGCATTTTGGTTCCCTTTGCCAACTCAACCGTAAGTATAAAGAATGGACACGTGTAGAGCTTTCTTCACAGTAGAAGCAGCTCACAATTACTCTCCTGATGACAAGGATTGTTTTGAAGTGTGTTATCAGTGATTTGTCCAGGGGTTAAAGTATTCATATTTAAATTATTCAATTATTACTCACTTCGTTGTACATGAAATTTTATGCACCGGAACCCTGCACCCATGAGGGTTCAGAACATGATTGCTCAATTTTAAATGTTCACAGCATAACTAAAGAAACATATTTTCTGGGGCTGCAGTGATAGTATAGCAGGTAGAGTGCTTGCCTGCCATACAGCCAACCTGGGCTCAATTTCTGGCATCCCATATAGTCTCCTTAATGCACCAGGAGTTATCCCTAAGCACAGAGCCAGAAGTAGCCAGGTGAAGCCCTCAAAAAACAGCCAGGTGAATCTCCCCCAAAAAACAAAAATAAAAAAAAAGAAACAAAGTTGTGTATTTGTCTTTTTGTCCTTCCAAAAGTGGTTGCCATATTTTAAAGTAGACATAGACAGACTTGGGTATAAGAGATTTAAGGCCAGTAAAGGTGAAGATACTTTTGAACAGCTAGAGCACAGCAATAAGGAGCAATCATCAACTTAGCCAGAAAGTTTCTCCTGCTGCTACTTACAGTGGTAACCATAATATCATGGTTCTTGTCCTACAAGTGACCAGAATGGAGAAATAGCTCCAGACAGAGGCAACTTTAAGTTCAACATAACATATGTATGCTCTGTGTTACTAAATTTTGTTTAAATTTTTTTTCTTTGAAGTACTAAATTTTCTTTGTAACAAGTGGAATAAAAGTTGTCTCTCTGAAAGTCAGTGAAAAGCCATGGGTTCAGTCCTGCTGTTAAAGTTGAAGGAAAACTAATAACGCTGTTATCTGTTGGTATGGCTGTTTCAAATAGAACTATCACAGAACTAGGATTTCTGTTCAGACTTCCCCTTTCTTTGAAAAATATTCAGAATAGGTAAGGCAGATAGTAATAAGGGATACTATTGTTATTACCAATCCTGAATGAAATGCTATGTGAGAAACTAGTTGGTTAGAAATTCATCACAATGAGTGTTTGCTCAGAATGCCAGAGTTTTGACCAGGTTCAGTTTATTCTGAATGCACAGTTGTTTGTGGTGTGTGCAACTTTTGGTTTTTGACCCTAAATATCATAGAGTTGCCTCCAGAAAATCTACAATTAACTAGTCCAACACACCCCTCTTCACAGTCTATCCCCATTTTCTTCCAATCAAGTATTTCCCCAGTCTTGGAGTGAATGTCCTCCTTCCCTACCTTCCTCTTATATTTCCTTCTTTACTTGTTTACCTTCCTCACTTACTCCTTCATGCCCTTAATTAATGAATGAAGTGAATAATTATGGGATGAGCAATGACCTGAAAGTGGAGACCATTTCTGCCCTGTGGATTTTATGATTTTGTGGATCCTCTGTCAAGCCATGTATAATGCCAAGAATGGGCAAGTCTGGCCTGCCAACAGCTGGCTAGCTGCTCATCAAACATAACATTACTCACAAATGTTTAAACAAACAAACAAACAAACAAGAACTTTGTTCTACAGTTCAATTGTCCTGCAGCACAAATGTATTTAGAGAGGTAAACATTTTATGTGTTTTCTGCCTGGGATTCTGTGATTTACCTGGCATACCATTTGTTCACAGATTAAATAAAAGTAGAGGGAACAATTCTTCTGATATCAGCTAGGTGACTGTTGGAGTTAATTGAGTGTGAAGAGATGAAGAGCCAGAACAGTATTGGGTGTAAAATAGGAGGAATCAAAGTATGAGATGTTATAAAGGAAAATGGTTAGGTATTGGTGATTAGCTAGGCAGGGACTCCTCTCCCCATAAAGGAAATGGGGTTGTAGGATAACACTGTTTTGTCCTTCCTGCATAACCTCAGGTAGTTTAGGTTTATCAGGCTGCTCCCATCGCAGTGCTCCCATTCCTCTGTGTTTATTTGTAACTTCTTTCTTTGTGCTCTGTTGACTTGTAAATATTGTTTTTCTCTTCTTGTCTAAGCACTGTAGTCTGAGTCTGTGGCAAGATGTTCCCAGGAGAGCTGCCCTACAAGCCTCAATGTTATCTCTTACTGTGTGTCTATACAAAAATAGCTAATATTAAGATGTTGATAGAGTTATTAGACTAGGGAAAAGAGAAAAACACCTTAAGAGGTATTTTGCCCTTGGGCAGTCAGGAAGGGCTTTGGAATACCTCTTAGGTGGTATTCTCTTTGAATTTGGTGGGCCCTCAGGAAGGGCTTTCTTATGTTGATTTTGCTACCTGACTGGGTGCAGTGTCAGCCCAGAGTGGAGGAGAGTTGGAGAGAAGAGGGCTGGAGAGAGACAGAGCAGGGCGACAAGATGGACTGCGGAGAGAATAGCAAGGGGGACAGAGAGAGACGAATGTAGAAGAATGCAGGAGCAAGCATGTGAAGAGAGCCCAGGCTGCAAGATGGAGCGAAGAGATGAGTGGGAGAAACAGGAGGAATGAGGAGCAGTGTGAGACCAGATTAGGAGGCTCAGAGAGGCTGGGGCAGGCCTGTGGGGAGAATGGAATAAATGGCATCTGATCAATCAACCGGCTTGGCCCTTGTCTCTTCCAAGCGGCCTGGATCCACCCCAGAACCTGGGCGGCCAGGGGAAGAGCCGTTGGGGCCATCCCTGGCCGCCCTCAAAGATTTTATACATGGGGTGATAAAGTCTTCAAGGCTCTGAACTGAGGGATCAGGTATTGCTCTTGACAAGAGGTGTGGAATTTGTGGGAAAATAATTTTGGGAGGGGCATTGGTGATTGACCTTAACATTATATATATATTTTTTTTTGGCTTTTATGGGTCACACCTGGAAATGCTCAGGGGTTACTCCTGATTCTTCACTCAGGAATTACTCCTAGTTGGTGATTGGGGAACCACATGGAATGCTGCAAATTGAACCCAGGTCAACTGTGTGCAATGCCCTACCTGCTGTACTATCGCTCTGGCCCCTGACCTTAATTTTCTAATGTTAATTTCCATCTCAGAAAACTGCAACATTTTTCTTTAAAAATCACTCTTGTTTTCCAGGGAGCACTTGTTGGTCTGGCGGCTGGATTTGCTGTTTCTTTGTGGGTTGGAATTGGAGCGCAACTTTACCCTCCACTTCCAGAGAGAACTATGCCACTAAAGCTTGAAACCTATGGCTGTAATATCACAAACAATGGGACAAATTGGATGACAACCACAGAAATGCCATTTTCTACTAGTGCTTTTCAAATACATGATGCTGAAAGGTATTAAGCATTTGTGATGTCATTTCTTTTTAAAAATGCATTACAGGCAAAAGGACTCAGTTGACTTCAATGCTGTGATTTTGCACCCAATTCTCAAATGAGTAGAATGAGTAGAACCCATGTTGTTCTTCTGTTGAATAGGATATTTTGTTCAAAAAAAGTCATATTTACTTAACTTTGATAGAAACTTGTTTCAGGATTTCAATAATAACAACAAGAACCACAAAAAGTATATAATGGATCAATCTATCAAATACCCGACTTTAGTTGAGTCATTGTCATTGTCTTTATCAACTAAAGATCTTTTAAAATGAAAAGCAAAATTACAGAAGAAACATTATTTAGTCTTCAAAGAATAGTCTGTACTGACCAAAAGTTATTATGGTTTAAATATGTTGGTTTATTACTGTTTGTTAATGTTTTGGGATTTTGGTGACAACTGGAAATGCTCAGGGCTTACTCCTGATCTATACTCAGGGCTTCCTCCTTGTGGAGTTCAGGGAGTCACATGGGATGCCAGGGATTGAACTAGGTTGGCAGCATGAAAGGCAAGCATCCTACCCATTGTACTGTCACTCTGGTTCCTATATGTCAAATTCAAATATTCCAAATCTTTAGAGCACAAACAATGGCATTATAACTGCAATATTCCTGGGCTGGAGCGATAGCACAGTGGTAGGGCATTTGCCTTGCACGCAGCCAACATGGCCGACCTGAGTTCGATTCCTTTGTCCCTCTTGGAGAGCCCGGCAAGTTACCGAGAATATCTCGCCCGCCCGGCAGAGCCTGGCAAGCTACCTGTGATGTATTCGATATGCCAAACACAGTAACAACAAAGTCTCCAATGGAGACCTTACTGGGCCCGCTCGAGCAAATCGATGAAAAACGGGAGGACCATGACCGTGAATTCCTGCTAAAGTTTTAGGTATGCAGTCTATTTTAGCCTTAATATTCAATAAATGTTAATAAATATTGATTAACTTATTGATTGAAAGTATTTAATTAATAAACATAAATTCAGTACCATCTGATTTAAAGAAATGATGTAGATATATTGAATATGAATATTTTACTGTATAGTAAATTTGTGGGTGAGGCTATCATGTCTATGCATGTATAGACTCAAAGCACAAACTCTACAGTTATGTTGGAGGAATGAAATGTAGGACCCTCCCTCAACTGTATTACCCCAGTTCTGACTGACCTAGAATAAAACTCTTCAAGAATTATTTTTTCAGGGATAAAATTTGGTATCTCCGTCTTAAAACGAAGACACTCTTGGGAGAAAGAACTTTATATATAGACATTACTAGTGATTCATGTCCCAGAAGGAAATCAGCCATGAGAATACCCATGAAGTTAAAATGTGGTTAACTCTTTAGGGATAGAAAATATATAGGTAATTTCAGAGCCTGAAGGATGTTTGAGGTGGGTTTGGCTAGATGGGGTGCTGTGGGGAGAAGAACAAGAAAATGAAGGGAGAAGTTCAAATAAGCCTGAAAACTGTAATGAAGAGGCAGGATTGGGAAGTTATTAATGAGTTCCTTCCTTCCTTCCTTCCTTCCTTCCTTCCTTCCTTCCTTCCTTCCTTCCTTCCTTCCTTCCTTCCTATTTTCAAAACTGTTGGTAACAGACTATCAGGCACTCAATATTTAGCTCCAAATTCACCACCACTGTTGGTGTCCCTCCACCAGTGGCCCATGGTTTCCTCCCTGTCCCCAACTAGCCTTTTAAAAAAATGTTTAAAGAGCAATTATTATTGTTTGGATCACATGCTTACATTAGTGTTTACTCTTGTGGTTGTGATGCACATAGTTACTTCACCTCCACATAACCAAAGTATCCAAGACCTTGATCAATGCCTTATGTTCTTGCCAGTGGAACATAAACACATACCAGGCTGTGTTTCTTATTTTCTAATTTTTCTCAAAACTGGTATTTCAATGTAGATATTTATCTCAATTTGGGGATAAGTGTCCTAAACAAGGAATTACTTGGATTCCTGAAGTGAAATAAATTACTATGTATTTGCTATATGTCTGATATAATCATAATCTCTTTCTTATGTAATATTATTTATAAAATAGGTCAGTTGATAGAAAAGAATTTTTGAGTGGGAAGTAGGTCCTCAGCAGTGGGCTGACCATTTGTGCAATATTCACTTTCTATTCATTGTAGTTTCTATCTTCCAGGAAATGAGCTGGAGAGGATGAGCTAATATACAAAACAATTAACCCAATTAGCATGGGGTACCAACCAGCACATGGTAAATAGATATAAATATACGATGAATATTTAAGAATAATGACTATAAACAGAGTGAGAGTGTAGATTGCACAAAGACTTTCAAGCTATACCACTTGGTGAAGAATGCAGGGGTTGACCAGATGAAGGCATCTGGAATATCATTCCTATCTCAGAACATCTCCAGAAAGAAAGTTAGGCTGAAAAAAAATACATGTACAATGCCTTGCATCAGATGATCTTCATAAGCTCTGCTTGGAAGCCTAGCGGAGGAAGAAACTAATCTTGTTAAGTAGTGTCAAGGAAAACTCCCCAGAGGAATATTACATGAGCTGTAGCTGCAAATCAGGTGAATAACACTGGGCAGGGGGCACAAAAAGAAGGGGTGCATATTGTAGAATGAAGAAACACAGGTGTAAAAGCATGGAGGCCAGAAGTTTCCTGCATGGTAGGACAGATGGGTAGGTAGTTTAGGACCGTAAGAGGGCTGTTAATGACAGCCCCAGTAGGATGGGGGAAGATAGATTTTAATTACCTGGACACTGGGTAGTGTCTACAACCATTTTTATTTTTTGTATTCCAAATAGTTGATTATTATGCAATGGTTGATCATTTTGATTATAATTTGCATTTATCTTCTGATAAATGAAGCTCAAAATTTTTTTTTAGATGTCTCAGCTATCCACTTTTGTGACTTGTTTATTGAAACCTTTGGTTTTTTTAAAAAAATCTATCTATCTATCTATCTATCTATCTATCTATCTATCTATCTATCTGTTTGTTTATTTATTTTGGGCCATACCTTGTGGTACTCAGGGCCTACTTCTGGCCTGCACTCAGAAATAATTCCTGGTAGTATTCAGGGGACCATATGGGATACCAGGAACAGAACATGAGCCAGCTGTGTGCAAGGCAAGTGCCCTACCACTACACTAGCACCCCAGTCCTTAATAATACTTTTTAATGATCAAAATTTCCTTATTAAAATTCAATTCAATTTAGTCTTTTTTTTTTTTTGCTTTTTGGGTCACACCCAGTGATGCACAGGGGTTGCTCCAGGCTCTGCACTCAGGTATTACCCCTGGCGGTACTCAGGGGACCATATGGGATGCTGGAAATTGAACCCGGGTGGGCTTCATGCAAGGCAAATGCCCTACCTGATGTGCTATTGCTCCAGCCCCATAGTCTTTTTCTTTATGGTCAATCTTTCATATGTCCCATTAAAAAAACTTTTGCCCTTTTTTTGTTATTCATAAAGCTAGTTCTTTAATTCTTCACTTTGAAGCTTTTTTGTTGACCATTTCCAGAAAAGAACACCTATCTTACTTTGAAACTGTTTTATGTAGCTGGTGTGATCAATTTTCATGTTGCCATATGGATATTCCTCTGGCTCCATTGTAATGCAGAGGTAACTTGGACCTAAACCAAATTACTTTGTCCCATGACTGTTTCTTTGATTATCTGTTCTGTTCTCATTGGTCTCTCTTTGGCCCTATAATTCCATATTATTGCAGTGTTAACCCTTTACCTCATGTGTTTTTCTTATTTCTGGGTCTTGTCCTTGCAAGTTTTAATTACTGTGGTTTCTCTGGTGTCTTAAAAAAATTGCCTTCCTCTGCTACTGAATTGTTATATGTAGTAAGTTCTTCCTGAATAATATGAAAAGATTCTTGGAACTGCATCTTTAAGTGAAACAGGGTATTTACCATAGCCTAGTTGACAAAAACAATAATTAAATTCCTATGACATAATTCTGACCACAGAAGCAGCACCCAGTTTTTAAATAGATAGCAAGATTTAGTGGTAGGAAGTCAGGCCTTTTCTCCTTCTCAACATCATAATAAAATTACACCAGATGCAATGATTTTTGGGGTACCTGCTGTCTTGTTCTTGGCAGGATAGCTGGTCTAAATCAGGGTACTCTATTAAAGATGAAAGTTGACTCCTAGAGCAATTATTTTAATCATTTTATTTGGAGATAGGGCTTGGGCCACCCCTTCCTGCTCAGGATGTAGTCCCATTTCTGTTCTCAGAGATGACTCCTGACAGTGCTCAGAGTTGTGTAGTGCTAGGGAAAAAACCAGGGTCAGCTGCCTACAAGAAAAGAGCCTTACTCCCTGTCCTATTTATCTGGCCAGAGAGCATTCTTTTTTTTTTTAAATTTTATTAGTGAAACACCATGAGGTACAGTTGTAGACTTACAAATTTTTGTGCTTGGGTTTCAGTTATACAATGATTGAGTACCCATCCCTCCACAGTGCCTATTCTCCACCACCAATGATTTCAGTATTCCTCCCACCCTCCCATCCCCCATCCCACCCTGCCTCTGTGGCAGGGCATTCCCTTTTTTTTTTTTAAATGGACATCATTTTTTTTTTATTAGTGAAACACCATGAGGTACAGTTGTAGATTTACAATTTTTTGTGCTTGGGTTTCGATTATACAATGATCAAATACCCATCCCTCCACCAGTGCCCATTTTCCATCACCATGGATAATATCCCTCCCACCCCCATCCCCCCATCCCACCCTGCCTCTGTGGCAGGGCAATTCCTTGTGTTCTCTCTCTCCTTTTGGGTGTTGTGGTCTGCAAAAGAGGCATTGAGTGGCAAACATGTTCAGTCCATAGTCTACTTTCAACAAGGGCATTCCCTTTTGTTCTCTTTCTCCTTTTGGGTGCTATGGTTTGCAAAAGAAGCATTGAGTGGCAGTCATGTTCGGTCTATAGTCTACTTTCAGCATGCATCTCCCGTCCTGGGAGTGTCCTCCCAACACCCTTTATTTGGTGGTCTTAGCATGATTCTTTCCATGTAGTACCACTTGTATGTAAATTTCATGACTTCATCTTTTCTAACAGCTACATAGTACTCCACTGTGTAGATGTACCAAAGTGTCTTTAACCAGTCATCTGTTCTCGGGCACTCAGATTTTTTCCAGAGAGCATTCATTTTGGAAATATAAGGGTTGCATCATTCCTCCATTTACTATAATACCATGAACTGAGCACATGCTGTCCTTAGAGGGAGGCTGGGTTTGATTCCTGCTATCACGCAGTCCCCTGAGTACAACCAGAGGTGACCTCTGAGCATAGCACTGGGAATGACCTTTGAGGCCAAGAGATATGACCCCACAGCAAAGGAAAACCCAATATAAAATAAGTAATGCCCGAAGTGCCATTGCCCAAAGTGTAAGGTATAAACTGGCCCGAGTCCAACCAGAAAACTTCTGTTTCCCTCTCACATTGAACCTTGGTTCTCTTGCTTTCCCTCTCAGTAGGCTGGTGCTGGCATCTTCTTGGACGCTTCTCTCCAATTTCTGCCAATCTCAGTTTCAGTGTCCCGTGTCCACACATGTTTCTCTCACGACTCTTGAGAATGTTCTCTCTTCTTACAACCCTGTTCATTTCACACTCCTTCATTTTATTTCCTATACGCATCTTCCCCCAGTGGAAATGATTCTATTAATTAATTAATTTTTTATTGAAGTCTGTTTTCAATCTGCAAAGTTTATTTAAAGTGAATATAAACTCTGTCAGGCAGAAATCTTATTTTTAGTTCTTCTATGACTGACTTTTTAAGGATAAGAACAAGGTCTAGAACATAAAGCAGAGTTGTGATCAAAGGACATTTAGTACTATAGTATATGGTCAAGGTTACATGGCACTTTTAAATCCCTGCTGGGTGTGGCCCTTATAAAAACAGGGAACAGCAGATGATGGCAATAAAACATGATTAAATATTATATTTGTGAGGATTATTGAACCTTACTCTTAGGTGCTGGTGCATGAAGTAATACAGTTATGATTTTCTTTTCCTTAGGACTCCGCTGATGGATAACTGGTACTCTCTATCCTATCTGTACTTCAGCACTCTTGGAACTTTGATAACTGTATTTGTGGGAATTCTTGTCAGTTTACCAACAGGTAACCATCTAAATATTGATACTGTTGTGTTTTCCTCACTCTCGGTTATTACTTCTGTTTTATATTTCTAGATGTTATTTTTACTCTAGTTCTCTTAACAACTTGTTGAATTCCTGGATGTTTTCCTTATGGGAAACTTGAAGTTCTCATTCAAAAAGCAGAAGGCTCATCTCCATTGAATCTCGAACCTGCCTGCATGAGCATTTGCCCATCAGCATTATTGGGCAAGAGTGCAGAGAATACCTGAACCTTAGCTCCCTCTCCCTCTCCCCCTCTCCCTCTCCTTCTCCCTCTCCCTCTCCCTCTCCCCCTCTCCTTCTCTACCTCTCCCTCTCCCCCTCTCCCTCCCCCTCTCCCTCTCCCCCTCTCCCTCCCCCTCCCCCTCTCCTCCTCCCCCTCTCCCTCTCTCCCTCTCCCTCTCCCTTTCCCCCTCCCCCTCTCCTTCTCTACCTCTCCCTCTCCCCCTCTCCCCCTTCCCCTCTCCCTCTCCCCCTCTCCCTCCCCCTCCCCCTCTCCCTCTCTCCCTTCCCCTCCCCCTCTCCCTCTCTCCCTCCCCCTCTCCCTCTCTCCCTCTCCCCCTCCCCCTCTCTCCCTCTCCCTCCCCCTCTCCCTCTCTCCCTTTCCCTCTCTCCCTCTCCCTCTCTCACTCTCCCTCTCCCTCTCCTTCTCCCTTTCCTTCTTCTTCTTCTTCTTTCTTTCTCTTCCTCTTCCTCTTTCTCCTCCTCCTCCTCCTCCTTTTTTTTTTAAAGTAAAATGAACCCTAGTGTAAAGGATTTAGATCAAACACTGCCATACTTATTTTTATTTAAATAATTTGTTCTGCAATTCATAGTTCACTACATTTGTTCACATATCTCTACATTAAAACTGGGAAAAGGCAACTATACTGTGGAAAGCAGAGGCAGATGGCTTGATATTTTATTAATTATAGTGAATCATGAAGATGCTTTCAAACCAAGTTTTCTTACTGGTATTTGGCCAGAGATTTTCTTTTTTTCTTTTTTTATAATTTATTTATTCATTGAATCACTGTGGGAAAAGTTACAAAGCTTTCAGGCTTAGGTCTCAGTCATGCAAATATCAAACACATTTCCCTTTACCAATACTTATTTTTTACCACGAAGAACCCCAATAAAACCCCACCTCCCACCCCTCCCAATGCCTGTGAGGCAGATGAATTCTAGTTAACACTCAATCTACTTTGACTAGATTCATTGTTTCGATAAAAGATGCACCATTATTATTTAGACTTTACCCCCCCCCCCACCCCACCCCCAAATCAGGCATGCTGAAAAAGCGTTGTGCAATGATTTGCTTTCTACAGCTGGGTTCAAGAATTAAATGTTGTTGGATTTGGATTTCTGCTATTTTACTTATTAACCCTGAAAGTATTTCTACTGAAAGTCAGATAATTAAGAGATTGGTTTCTGTGCTCTGGAGTCGTGACCGTGCTGGAGAGCCGCTCGTTGGGGGGCAACTGGTGACCTTGGTAGGGTTTGAGGAACAGGCCGGAACGCCACCCTTCCCATGAGGTTTTAGTCGCCCCCACACCCCCTGGCCAGAGATTTTCTAGCTGGGCACCGATGTGACATTTGGCTTGCAATAAGCGCCATCTCATTTATCTATAAGCACCAGACACACTTTGAACACCGGGGGGCTATTCAGTATCTGAGACATAGGGAAGGGAAACAGTGGACTGAGTCCCCAGCACTATTTGCAAGTGTTTATGAGTGGATGGAGATGAATGTGTGCACACTAAATGCCTGTACGATGGACTGTCACTGGGTGGTTACGAATATCTTTTTTTAAAAACAACAACAAAGTCAATATAATTCTTTCTTTTTCAGGAGGAAGAAAGCAAGACCTAGACAGAAAATTCCTACTAACTAAAGAAGACTTTTTATCTAACTTTGACTTTTTTACAAAAGTAAGTTGTTTTTCCATTCCCTTAAATTTTTGACTGGGCTTTTATAATCAGGTTAGAATACTGGTTAGTCATTATTCTCTCTCTTTGACAGCGGGGATGCGCAAGGATGATAATTTACTGTGTTCTTCCATGCTGTGTATTTCTCACTAATGCTATAGACTAGTAAGGGGGTTTAGGAAAAGAAAATTAACAGTTATTCAGAATGGAATGGACAGTTTCTTTTTCTGCTTTTCCACCCTTTTAAAAAAATTGAATCACCATGAATGATAAAGTCACACAGATATTTGTGACTGAGTTTCAGGTGTACACCAATCCTTGTACCAATTCTAACACCAATTCCTTCACCAGTGTCCACTACTCTCCACCAGTGTCCTCAGTTTCCCTCCTGCCCACCAACCTGCCTCTGGGGTTGCCACATTTTTTAAAAAAATAATTTATTTATTTATTGAATCACTGTGGGAAAAGTTACAAAGCTTTCAGGTTTAGGTCTCAGTCATGCAAATATCAAACACATTTCCCTTTACCAATACTTATTTTTCACCACGAAGAACCCCAATAAACCCCCACCCCCCCACCCCTCCCAATGCCTGTGAGGCAGATGAATTTTAGTTAACACTCAATCTACTTTGACTAGATTCATTGTTTCGATAAAAGATACACCATTATTATTTAGAGTTTACCCCCCCCCCCCCCAATCAGACATGCTGAAAAAAACATTGTGCAATGATTTGCTTTCTAGAGCTGGGTTCAAGAATTAAATGATGTCGCGCGGCCGCATTTTGGATTTCTGCTATTTTACTTATTAACCCTGGAAGTATTTCTACTGAAAGTGAGATAATTAAGAGATTGGTTTCTGTGCTCTGGAGTTGTGGCCGTGCCGGAGAGCCGCTCGTGGGGGGCAACTGGTGACCTCGGTAGGGTGTGAAGGACGGGCCGGAACACCCCCCTTCCCATGAGGTTTTAGTCGCCCCAACACCCCCGGCTCATACCTGGCTCTTCACAAGGCTCCCATGCGGCTGCCATCTTTCTTTCCAGAGGGGGGAGGGCGGAAGGGAGCAACACCCTTTCCCCTCCGGGGGTTGCCACATTTATTCTCTGAAACTGTACCAGTACTTCCTTCCCTAACTTACTCCCACCAATCCCCAACCACACTCACACCCCAGTGGCAAGCTCCCTATTGAAGACTAGTTCTCCTGCTTTGTTTCTATTGCTTTTGAGCATTTGATATTCCCCTAGCAAGTTTCTTTATATCCAACCTATGAGTGAGATTATCCTGAGTCTGTTCCTCTCCCTCAGATTTCACTCAACATGGTAGTCTCCAGATCTACTCACATAGCAGCAAATTGTAGGACTGCATCTTTTCTTATGACTGAGTAGCATTCCATTGTGTATATATACAGCGGTTTTTTAATCAAGACACCGAAAAGTTTCTTTTTCCAATGGCAAATTAATCTCACGAGTATCAACATTTTCTTTCAGAAGAAGCATGATTTAAGCTATAAATCTCACCCAGTAGAAGATGGTGGAACTGATAATCCTGCCTTCAACCACATTGAGTTGAACTTTCCAGAACAAAGTGGAAAAATCAATGGAACTCGATTGTGAAGCAGTTATGATCCTGGTTTTGCAAATCCAGGTTTTACGTATTTTCTAAGATAATTCAGGCACATTTATATATTTTTTTCACTTTTGCCTATCATGAATGTTTGTGGGGGGGGTTACTTTGTAGGGATAAATTTTTGTTAGAACACTGTCCTGACTTTCTTCAAAGACTACTTATTTGTTGATGCTGCTTTGGAGTTATAAATTTCAGCACTAGCATTTGCTTCTATTTTTCTTTGATTCCCATGGAGTGAACATTATGAAAATTATGCAAGTTATAACTACATGTATGCCAAAAAGACTGATATACATATCCACACATCTGATCAAAGGCCTCCTCTTAAATTTGGGCATTGTTCAAAATCTTTTTCATGCATTGGTGCTAGTGTATAAATTTTGGGGTTGGCCAAAATTGAAATTAATACTGAAGAGGGTTTTACTTTCCATTGCTAAACTATCAATTTGGAGAGTTATAAAGACATAGGATATCTGTGTTACCCACGTCTTTGCTTCCCATTGGTTAATACCAGTCCAAGACACATGTTAATACAGGAACTGCTTCCAGTAATCAAGAAGCATCCTCTCTGGGACAGAATTGGGCCCAGTGATCAAGGTTGTCTTCTTGGTGCTAGCATTTATTCTCAAGGGTTTTATCTTGTTATCTGGACTTAGTTCCTAGCTACTTACTTTTCTGCCTTTCTTAGACTCTGGTTCTTCCTGCATTTCTAGTTTCTTACTCCTCAACTTTGTTCCTTACCTTTCCTTGTCTTCCCAGTTTCCTGCTTATTCTTGTTTCTTTGGTTTTACACATGTTTTGACACACTTCTTCGAATCAAGCCATCCCAGATCCTTATTATTTAAATCCTAGCCTATAAAATTAAAAACTCTCGTGAGCCTGATACTGACTTAAGTATTTTTAGCATAAGCAGTTAAGAATTTGGTGGGCTAAGAATATTTGTATTACTAAAAATTAGCGTCATGGAGTTATTAAGTTGATTTTCTAAATGTCAGATCATTTACAATCTGTTAGATTTAAAGACACTGTTGCTTGAAATAGTTTATCTTGCAAAAGCTTACCTAGGCAAACATTACTTTTCTTCAATGTACTGGGATTACTAAGATATGCTTTGTTTCATGTTTTCAAATTCCAGAAATAATATTCACAAAGACGTCTCAAAGTTTATTTTTTGCTACATTTCTAGCTGTTTGTTATAAGCTTGAATTAATAATTTATTGTTTTCTAAAGTATAGCATGTTAGATACTGCTTATAAAGTGTTTAGCTTTAGAAAGTTTTAAAATAATATTTAGGTATATTAAATATTTATGATGTTTTTTGATTATTTTCTGATGTTAACATGCTCTGAACATTTATAGACTGCCAATTGAAAACACTGAGGATTTTTTAAAAGAATATAACATTTATGTAAAGCAAAAAGATTTATATAACATTGAAATTGATAACATTAATATATTTTATATGTGTATAGATGTTATTTTTTAAATCAACATATTTTTAAGCATACATCAAAATTTATAAATTGTTCTATAATATTTTAAAGAGTAGCAAGAGAAATCTTATTTTATATGAGTGTGATTTGAACTATTTATGTAATAATTCAAAATTCACATGTATATGCCATAATTCAATTTTGGAAATTAAAATAAAGTATTTTTAAAATAAAATCAAGTTATTTAAATAATATTTAAATAAATGTTATTTTAATATTTAAATAATGTTTTCTCCTGTCTCTCAAGGGACAATGTAATCTACTTTTAAGAAGAGATACAATGCATTCTTTTCCTCCTTTAACAGTATCTCTTTGTGGTATTAGAAATTATCTATATTATATATATTTTGATATTTTACAAACATGAGTATTAGATTTGCTCGAGCGGGCCCAGTAACGTCTCCATTGGAGACTTTGTTGTTACTATGTCTGGCATATCAAATACTCTCGGTAGCTTGCCGGGCTCTCCGAGAGGGGCGGAGGAATCGAACTCGGGTCGGCCATGTTGGCTGCGTGCAAGGCAGACGCCCTACCCGCTGTGCTATCGCTAGAATTCTTAAGAAATCAAATAATGTTACTATTAAAATTATTATTTTAATCATATAACTGAATAAAGCCATGTATTGATGTCAATATGTTGTATAACACATTAAATATTTTAATATTCTAAAGTATTTTTGAATCCCAATAATCCTAAGGGAAACAAAAAGCCACACAAATTGCTTACTTTTATTTTGCCATTGAAAAATTGCAGGAACTTGAACGTATCCTTGAATTGAAGTCTCACTATTATTTGTAATATTATAATACAGAATAATGACCGCACAAAGATAGGTGGAGTTTTGAAAATACTAAGGTCTACTGACTTGTGAATAATTACATAAACCACTCTTAAGAACAATTAGCTTCTCAGTCTGACTTTCAGCATTATCATACAGTAAAATGAAGGAAATTGTATGTATGTGATTATAGAGACTTCTATAAAACAAATAATTTTGTTGTAATTATGAGAACCCCAGAAGGTATAGCTTCTTGTTAACAATTGAGTGGCTGTACAAGATACAGAAACTTGGACCAGAGAAGAGTTGAGATGAGGCAAATAACTCTCTACATAGATTCTTAAAGAAATTTCTGAGGGCTTGATTTATTTTTATTATTTTTAAAAACTTGGGATCATTCCTGGTAGTGGTCAGGGCTTACTCCTGCCTCCATGCTTGGTGATCACAGTTGGCAGGCCTCAGGGACCGCAAGAGTTCAGGATCAAACACAGGTTGGGCCACGTGAAGGCAAGTGCCTCATCCACTGTACTATCACTGCAACCCCTGGAAATCCTGAATTTTTCTCAATGACTCTGTTGATAGAATCAATTGTGAGTGTTTAACCATTTAGTGTCTGAAAATTTACCCTATAATTTTGCTACCGAAGTTTTTTAACTTTTGCATTTATGTTATTCTTTGTGGACAAAGCTTGAGGACTTTTATGATGTTGAAAATGGTTGACGTAAAACTTGATCGCATTTCTGATTTTTCAACTTGCGGATTAAAATTTCTATAAATACCTTTGTAATAATTTACTTTGGAAGGGGTATGTGACAAGTTGAGTCTGATGAATTTTATCAGATTTTACTGAAAATTATTCCCACATAAAGAATTCTTCCTATATACCATATAGAAAAATTTTGGGCTGTTAAATGTTCTATTCCAAATTATACTTGTAATTTTTTTTAGAGTAAATGAGCAAGCATGTAGAACTTTGTCACTGAAGAATATTTTACATTTTAAGTATTTAACACGATATTTTAAAATAGAAAGTAACTTCTTTATTTGTAAAACTTGTATTTGGTTTGTGGGTCATACACTATGATGTTCGGGGTAACTCCTGTATCTGATATTCAGGGGTAACTCCCTGTGAAACCATATGAGATGTTGGGTATTGATCCCAGGTTGGTTGCATGGAAGGTAATTGCCCGTGGTACTGTATTTCTAGTCTCAAAAGTAACTTCTTTAATAGTGGAAATTTCTGAGCCATTATTTCTTTGAATATTTCTGCTTTTTCCATTTTCTCTATTCTGTAACTCTAACTCCTTTGAAGTTATTGAAACTTTTTTGCTCCATCCTCCATGTCTGCTAGTCTGCTTCATAATTTACATCTTTTTATATTTAGAATACTTTCAGGATACATCACATAACTATGAATTAAGGGATATTTCTTTTCCTTTTCTGCTGTTTCTAATCTATTTCAAATATTTATTGAATTTTCCATCTCAGTCACTTTATTTTTATTTGTATAAATGGATAGATTTTTACTGAAATATAACATATACCATGCAGTGAACCCATATAAAGTTTGTAACTCAACGCTTTTATGCTCACAGAATTGTATACCCATTGCCACAATTTAGGAATGTTTTCATCACCCAAAAGGAAATCCAATCTCCGTAGTTACTCCCAATTTTCTCACAAACCCCTTAGGCCCTGGTGATCATACATCTATCTCTACAGATTTGTTGAGCTTGTACATTACATGTGAATGGAATCATAATATAAGGCCTTGTGTGATTATAGTTTTTTGTCATAGCCTAATATTTTCAAGGCTATTCTATATTATAGGATCAGTAATTCATTTACTTTTATGACCTAAGTAATATTCCATTTCATGACTATACCATGGGTTATTTATCCATTTGCCAGCTGATGTACATTTGTGTTGTTTCTGCTTTCAGGACTAGCATAAATAATGTTACTGTGCTCACTGTCTACACATTTTTTATGTGACCATATGTTTCCACATTGATATTGTTTTCATATTCGTGTTCATGTTTCATTTCAAATTTCCTCCTGAGTATGTACTTAGAAATGGAATTTCTTGGTCACTCAGTGATTAATTATTTTTAAAACTACCAGATGGTTTTCCAGAGTGGTTGTGCCATTTTACCTTTCAGCAATGTAGAAACTTTCCAATCTCTTCACATCCTGGCCAACATTTGTTATTATTTTCTATTATATCCATTTATTGGATGTGAGGCAATATCTCCTTATGGTGTTGGTTTACATTTCCACGATAGCAAATTGTATTAAGCATCTGTTTATTTTTATTTGGTAATTGTATGTGTTCTTTGGAGACATGTATATTCAGAGATTTTTTTTCGCATTTTTAATGGTCTCATTTGTCTTTTGAATTGTAAGAATTTAAAAATGTCTTCTTCCATTCTGTGGGTTGGAAAATGTTTTCTTTTTTTTTTTTTTTTAATTCCGTCTTAGAATTACAGAGTAAAGTCAAATGGGCTCTAAACAGAAGTACAACATAATGTGATTTTGAAGTAGAGAAATAAGAAATTTCCTATTTATCTCCTTTAGGCAAAGGAGGAAATGCAATGTTTCAGTCATTAAAATAGAAAGTACAGTGTCAAATGTACAAAAGGAGGGAACAAAGGACAGACAAATTCTGGGGGGCGGGGAGGGAGGTAGAGAGAGAGTTAGAGAAAGAGAGAGAGAGAGAGACAGACAGACAGAAACAGAAACAGAAACAGAGAGACAGATAAAGAGAGTGAGAGAGAGTGCATTACCTTCCTGTTGCAGTCTATGGATAATTATTATAAAATATTGGGTGGAAACAAGGATAACCAGGCAAAGACAAAATTTCCGAGAAATAGATAAGAAATATGTTGGTTTTCATGCTGTTAGAGCATTAGAGCAGGACTGGCTCAAGGAGGCTATCTGGCCTGTAAGAGGATGTTACCAAGCAGAGAATCTATTAGTGTGTTGAAGAGATAGAAAAAAGTTTTTGCTTGGGGAGCAGTTGGCTAGGCCATACCTGGCTATGCTCAGGCTTATTCCTGGCTCTGCGTTTGGGGATCACTCCTTTTAGTCCTCAGGGGATCATATTATAGTGCCTAGGATCTAACCCAGCTTTACCGCATGTAAGCAAAATACTATCTTTTTGGCCCGAAAAAAAATTTTTAACCAATGATTTTTCATCTTCTGAATCATTTGCTTGCTTTGTTGGTTCTTTTTACATTAAAG